GCTGCTTGACCTTCTCCTTCTGACCTTCGTACTGCCGCATAATCCATTTCTTGATGGTCTCGTGTGTATCTGGAAGCCAAGTATCGATATCGGCGTTGAGGTAGGCTAAGAATGCTCGGAATTCTGGGCATTCCACAAGCCTAAATGGGAGAGAACAGGACGTAATAAACCTTACGTATAAAGCTTCGAGCTGGTCTGGGTCGATCGAGTCTCCGGATTGATCGTTGAGCCGACGGCGTTTTCGGGGATGTTCTTTGGCCATAACACGAGCTATCTCGAGAATAGTTCGTATATTCGTGACTTTGGCTGTTCGTGGCGCGCCTTTTGGGAGGCCGTGACCGTCAGGAGGAGGATCCGTAAGGTGCTTGGCTGGGGCCGCAGTTCCACCGGAACAGCAATACGTTTTGTCACAGTGTTTGCAGCGCCATTCTTCTTTTCCGGTCCGCTGATTGTAGTATTTCGTCTCTATGTCCTCGTCTGGCATATGAGAAAAGACCCATGATGTTCTTGGCTTGGCCGAAGGGTTTATGGAGGCCGTGCGAGGTTGCGACGATTGGCATTCAGTGGTTTGGGTCTCATCTGGATCATGCAACCGTGGGCTGGAAATCTCCGAGTATTCGTCTGATATTGACGAATCCCGTCGCGGCGATGTTTGAACAAAAGGCAGGCGTTGTTGAGGCATCGAGATTGCTTGTAAGTCCTGGGGTGGGAAAGCGGGGTTGAGGAGGAAAACAGTGTTTGGACGGCGAGCCGCTACCCTGTAGGTCTGGATTTATACATACATTTACGCGTTTCCGTGCGCCAATAGGAAGATTTTACGTCCTGGAGGTCCGCCAGACGAAAAACAATACATAGAACATGCTTATATTTACGCGTGTATTTTGACGCGTCATCATATTGGCGCGAATTGGGGAACGGAAGGCGAATGACCACCAACCAATACAAACAATACAAGCCATATATTGCCAGTATGGAAGGCGCCATATTGTATCGTCACAATATGACGGCGAGCATATTGTATTGGTACAATATGAGAAATCGCGTATTGTATTGTATATACTGCAGTATACTACTTTATTGTCATATTATTAGCAACACTGCTTGATGCTACCAAGACGTAGATGACGCAATGAATGCATGACTGTAGATTCTTGAATTTTCAGGCCTGCCTTACCGTTGACAGCAGACTTGCAGCCTTCGGCTGATTGTACGCCTTGCACCACTGCTCTAAAGTGCAAGGCGTGACGAAGTATTTTACTCGCTATACGAATGCCTCGTAAAGCTCGGGACCACGAAAGAGAAGCGACTCATGATTGATATCATGGCGCTAAGGCAGTCCTACGAGCAGCGCGAGATGGCAGAGATCCGTTGGATCAATGGGGATGACAACCCGGCTGATGCGATGACCAAAGCAGCACCCAACCGTGCTTTGGAACGGTTGATTGAGACGAACAGGCTGACGATTCGAGTGGAAGGATATGTACAACGACCCGTGACCGCAGACACCACCTAACGACAAACGACTCCATGATGACGAGCCTCCCTTCATTGAGACCGGAATGAAGGGCAGGCACGGCAGCCTTCGGATTCCATCACGAAAAGAAAAGACTGCCTGTGTTGGAATACTAACCTGCTGAGTAACCCGTGCAATCGGGATACCATCACGGTTCATGCACGACTCCACGTGACACCCTACCCGCGATCAGGGCACGCAGCCCCGGCTGCATGCCCCCATTACCAGGTGCACATTCCGTTTCTTGTGAATAGCTTCCTCTTCCCTAGTTAGTTACAATTGAAGTCATCACCGGTTACCCTACCTGTCGTGACTGTGACTCAGCCTACAGCTTGTGCGCATGCGTATCTGTAGGCACATAGGTGCCTACCATCAACCAGAACTTAAGAATAAAAACACGAAGATTATATCATTCTGTAGAGAAATGAATGCCCCTGTCTATACCGGCATTTTTTTACCACCCTCCCGGATTTAGTGGTGACAGGAATGGATTCAGATGCTACCTTGACTCAATCACTGACGCTGTCTCCACCTCTGAGACCTTGTCCTCCTCGGACTCAGAATTCGGCACAACGAGTATTTCTTTGCTTCTAACTTGGAGAATGGCTTCCTTAGCTGCTAAAGCTTCACTCAAACTTATGAACCACCCGATCGGGTCCATAATGACCCTCCTCTTCCTGCCTCTCTGCAGCCGAGCCACTTCTGCCTCCTGCTTCACAGTTTTGTTGCAATGCTCAGCAAGCGCCTGTTCCTGGGCTTCAAAGCCTTTAGCGATCCCGGCAAAACGGCTCCGAGTGCTAGGAGACTTATTCTTGCCAATATCGCGAATCTGGCGGCTGCTTCTGGGTGTATCGTCGGAGTCCAAAAAAGGCGCGGACTTTGGAGATGTCTGTCCCATGGCTGTGTGGGTTTCTGAGTGCCACAATGCCTTGGATCGTGATATTGGCCAATTTCCAGTGACCCTCCAGCCGGACAATATATTGTTTGCAATCATTCTGACCTCGCGTGCTTTGGCAGATGCCCGTATATAATTGACCTTACGAGCAGGCGTAGAATCAGTAAGACAGGCCAATCTCTGAAGTTCTTTCCGATAGGCTGCCTTGGAGGCATTATTAAAGCCTTTATCCAAAGGCTGGAGACCATGAGAGCAGTGGGAAGGGAGGTAGCAGCAATAAACGTTGTTCAAAAAGCACGTAGCCAGCTATGCATCCTGGTTCGGTTTGTCACAAGTAACTGGAAAGATGCCATGCAGGTGAGGGTTATTGAGAGTCAAATTGGCCTTGACCACTGCCCAAGTCAAGGGGACAAAGGTCCCAGTTATATACAAGAATGGTGCCCCTGTAGGTTGGGACGCCTCCTCGGCTGGGGCGGAATATCGCTTGACACGGTTAACAGTGATTCCTAGGAAGATAACTATGGAAACGCACCGTTTCCTGGCATCCATGTCCTTCTAATATGATCAGTCTAGTCTCCGACTGATCGACTGGCCGCGTCTGAGGCAAATAGACCCTCTCAAGCCACTCAATAGCAATATGGTTATCTGTCGACCCGTTGGGCCAGGTTTTGTAATGCCAGCGGACTATTTTGCCGAATTTCTTCCAGAACCACGGTTTCTGGAGTTTTTATCCCTTAAATATAATGCCAGGAGTAAGCGCGCGGCCATCAGCAGCGATGGCTTCGATAAATGAAGTCCAGTTGCAGGGCTGTGGGCTCTTCAAATAGCCTTCCGTTTTGGGCCCGCATTCCCAACCACAAGGCTATCCAAACCTGGAAAAACGAACAGAATTAGTTAGAATATCGGAAAACAAGCCAAAAACTCACCAAATCCAGACATAATACGCCTTCGTCGACGTTCACGGTATTCTCCGGTTTAATCCATCCATACTTCATATTCCTGATATAGAAGTACCAGTGAACCGCTTTAGGCGTGAAATCGTTGAACCTGTCAGCTTCCTGACTGTTAAGCGATATTCCGCCCCAGCCGAGGAGGCGTCCCAACCTACAGGGGCACCATTCTTGTGTATATAACTGGGACCTTTGTCCCCTTGACTTGGGCAGTGGTCAAGGCCAATTTGACTCTTAATAACCCTCACATGCATGGCATCTTTCCAGTTACTTGTGACACTGACGTCTTTCACACTTGTTCTTGATCTCCGGATAGCGATTGATGAATTTGGTGGACTGGTTGCGACCCACTGTCTGCTGTCAGAACCGAAGGTTCTAGGTGATCCTGAATAGGCAATGCACAGTTGTGATGCAGTAGAACAATCGTATGTGGGAGTGCAGGCCGATTAGGCTTGCACAGATGTGTGTATTCTGTGTGTATCGCACGGAGGATGAGCAAGTGAGCATAGAGATCAGGGACTGGAAGACTCTTGATTCTGCTATCTAAGGTGGGAAAGAGGCGAGATCTTTATAGACTGCCTGAATATGAGAATGGAAGGGAATGGTAGTGAATGGAAGCATCTGATCAGATCATCTGGAAGCCACCGATGCGTTGATGATGCCTCCTAGAAGTTTCTGTGGGGAAATGTGGAAACGGACTGTGCGAATAGGGGGTCAGACTGTTGGAGGCTGATATCCTATGTGTGACAGTGTGTGTTCTTCTCCGGAGCGCGCCCGGGGCCCCTTTTTGGGGTCTCTCGGGCTCTATTCCAATGAGTCATCTGCTTATCTCCCTATCGCACGTGACCCCTGCTCCCGTTGTTCTGACACTGCTTGTTGCTCGGTTGCTTCATACGAGTCTCCAAGCGTACGTAGCCGATAAAAGCATGCTTCTTAATCTAGGTTCTTTCTTTAATCTGATTGGCCGATACCCCTTGTGCCTAGAGCTTAATTGCAATTGCTCCTTCCGCTATTGTTGATTGTTTCCTTGTGATTGGCTTGGGCTCGGGCTGCAGCTACTCGGCGTTATTGAGGTCGGGTGGGCTGGCGGGCCCGGCGGCTCTACTCGGCCCGGCCGATGCTGATATCTCATTGGTCGTACTCGCTGTAAACGCCCGCTGCAATTTCGTTGAAATTTGCTTGGTTTTGTAGAGCTCTCTTCGTAGAGAACATGCACATAGAGTTTATTAGGTTCAAAGCTTCTTAAGCGGGGTAAGGGAGAATAGTATGAAAAAATCGCCGCAAGATCTGACGTACAACCTTCGTACAGCTGGGAGAGTGCCAGCACGTCAACGGCGGCAGCATTTCCGGATCTGGGATTTGCTCCGAGTGGCGGACCGAGTTGCTCAGTAGCGCCTAGTCGAACCTTGTACGTAACAGTACGGGCCCCTGGGTGAAACATAATGATTCTACCTCGGTTCCCTTAGCCCCGCAAGTGGTTGTATAAGCCGGAGAGAGATAGCGTGGACGGCAAAAGCCCCGTCTCCGAACTGTCCGTGCTGAGAAATCATCTTCACATCAAAGTATATAGATCTGCACACAGTACACCACCGCCTTCACCTCGTTAGGCACAAGCACCTTCACCTTGTCTACACACGCAACCATGGCTCAAGAAAACCTCTCCTTCGTCCTCGCTGAGCGACCGAACGGTGACATCATCGCTGGCAAGACGCTCGCCCCGAAAAAGTCTCCCATCCCCTCGGCAAGCGACCTCCAGGACGGCCAGGTCCTCGTAGAGGTCCTCTATCTCTCCCTCGATCCCGCCATGCGCGGATGGATGAGTGGTAGGCCGCTCGCATTTCGCCCCGTTCACGTTTCTTCACGGCTGGCCCCTGGTCAAAGAGGCCCGCTCCTACGTGCCGCCTGTCAAGATTGGCGAGACAATGCGCGGCTCAACTGTTTGCCGCGTCGTCGCCTCCAAGGGTGCGAAGTTCAACAAGGGCGACTTCGTCTCCGGAACCGCCGGGTGGACCCAGTACGCCATCCTGGATGAGAAGCACCTGGAGCCCACGTCCAGCTATCCCGGCCTCCAGGACCCCATAGACATGCTCTCTGCCCTGGGATTCACGAGCCTGACAGCCTGGGTTGGCATGACCAAGATTGGTCTCCCCAAGGCTGGCGAGACGGTAGTCGTGTCTGGTGCTGCCGGAGCGACGGGCAGCGTTGCTGGTCAGATTGCCAAGATTGCTGGCGCACGGGTCGTTGGTCTTTGCGGCAGTGACGTCAAGTGCAAATGGCTGGTTGACGAGCTGGGCTTTGACATTGCCTTGAACTACAAGGCGGCCGACTTCAAGGACCGGTTCAAGGAAGCCACCAAGTCGTATATTGACGTTTACTTTGACAACGGTGGGTGCCTGGAACTCTCCTCGGTCTCGCCGTAGGATGCTTGGCTCACTATGGCGCAGTTGGTGGGGAAATCCTCGACATGGCCCTGGGCAGGGCCAAGGAGCACGCTCGCTTCGTCGAATGCGGCCAGATCAGCCAGTATAATACGTCGACGCCCAAGGGCCAGACCAACATCTCAAAGGTGGTCACCATGAGAATCCGCATGGAGGGCTTCATCATCTTTGACCACATCAAGGACTATCCACGTGCGCGCAAGGAGCTCGCCCAGTGGCTGGCAGAGGGCAAGCTCAAGAAGACGGAGCACGTCCTCGGCGGGGGCTTGGAGGTTGCCGAGCAGGGGCTCATTGATTTGTACAAGGGCGTGAACCAGGGGAAGCTTATTGTCGAGGTGAAGCCCAAGCGGCATTGGTCAGGCTCCTTGTAAGCATAAGATTGCTTTGTCAAGACCAGACTCCCAGAACCAGGACCGGCAAGCAAGCGCCCCATGTCCGGGAATGAGAAATCCAGAATCAGGTTGGGAGCTGTCAGGGAGCAGACTGACGGTCAAATCCACGCACGTATAAAAGCACTAGTAGGCAGGTCACACATACAGGGACTTGAGTCGGGTTTGATGCAGTAGAGGAACATCGCCCTAATCGGGATACGCGGGAATTGGCCCTGATTCAGGGCTTCCACGGGTCCCAGAGAGGTAAAGGATTTACCGGTGATCTGCCGGATCCCGTGACTCGCCGGACTTACACCGACACTCTGCCATCGTAATGCCGCGGAAGAGCAAGAACAGCACCAAGCGCAACTCGAACCAATTCGAGTTGCTCGATGACGAGGATGACGGTACGAACGACAATGTGGCCTGTAGCATCATTATGGCCAATCCGACAAGCGCGGCCGACGTGACAAGGACCAGCACCCGCGGTCGCCCTCTGAAACCGACACTGCAATTCGACCCAGAACCGCGCCCATCACGAAAGAAATCCGCCGTCCCGAAAGCGAAATCGACGAACGCCGACCCCAGTGCAAACGAGGATTCATTGGCACGAATCGAAGCTCTCCTGCAACGCGTCGAGGAGCGGGCCGAAAGGGCGGAGAAACGCGTCGAGTCTCTGGAAGAGTTCATTCGAAACGAACTCTTCCCACGCGTCGCTGGCCCTCTGGAGTCCGCCACTCCAAGTGCACCTCATCAGCAACAGCAACAGCACCTGCCACCTTCGCCACCACCCTCTCCGTTCCCAGGACCACTGCCAGGCATTGGGTTGGACGTGAGTCGGGTCCTAGACAGCGATGTGAAGGGCGGCAATGCCGGGACTATTCGTCGGCGCGCGAACGCTGCCCTTGGGAAGTTGGGTGTGACCTGTCTGGGCGTCAATTCTAAGGGAAACGGGCGTTTTCGGCTTCTCTTTCGAGAGTCGGACGTCGATAAAGTACGACAGAACGACACCTGGATGAGGACACACTTCGACAAGGGAACGCTATATGGGGAGCAGTGGTACCCTCTACGGGTTGATAGAGCCCGTTGTGGGGTTGCGACGGATGATATCGGATGCGCCGTCTTTGGGCGGATGAACGGGGTGAAAGTGCACAAGATGCGATGGCTCGGGACAGCGTCTGTCGACAAGGAGTACCGCTCTCTGGTGGTACATCTGGATAAGAAAGAGGAGGTGGACAGGTTGCTTGCCAAACGAACGGTTGAGATGGCGAATGGCGAGTGTGCATACACGCGACCATTCGTTCAGGGACTTCAACCAGCGAGATGCTACCGCTGCCACCTCTACGGACACTTGCATTATCGCTGCAAGGCGCCAACTCCGATCTGTGGACAGTGCGGCCAACCGGGCCATTCTGCGTCGACCTGCACCTCCGACGTTTTTAAGTGTGCAGCGTGCGGTGGAAAGGAGCACACAAAGCTACAGATCCTGGGTCCGGTGTATCGCCGGGAACTCGCCAAGTTACGACCGACACCTTACTAACATACATCCTCTGTCTTAACCTTTTCTTTTCAGCACAAACCCTCTACCTATACCTGTGGTTGCCCCACAGCTGGTAGGTTAGCTACACCGGACGGCTAAAGGCAGGTGGACTCTTCGTCAAATGCGGCGGAGGAGAGTGGTCTGTACCTCATCAGACAGGCTCCAGAATTGGAAAGGGACAGGTCAAATGAGCAAGAGACGGATTGAAGGATGTAAGAGAAATTTAGGCATTAGATCGGGACGAATTCCTTGGGCTCGGAACCGAGTATTGGACAACTCTAGATTAGGCTTAGCGAGTCTGACGCAGTGCCTCTGACTATCGTCAATGGCGAAATAAACATCATCATCATCGTGACCGCCATCTCCTGCCAGCGGGACCGTTCCGGCCCCTCTATCTACCCGGGCCGCCTATCCGCTCCGACCATGCTCCGGCCGGTCGGCGGGATAGGGCCCTTGCCCCCATCGAAAGGACCGTCCGGCGAGAACCGTCCAATCCTGCGAGAGACATGGGTACTGGCCCCTCACTTCGTGACCGCCATCTCCTACCAGCTGGACCAAAGGTCTTGATCATGACCTAAGCACTCCGTAAGCCCTCTGATCTTCCACGCCGGATTCTGGCTGGGCGCCGGTAACAGACCATTCCCCTCCCACGTCCTCCCAGCTCTCGTTCGCAGCACCATGTCGCGAGAACACCCAGCCACTGTCGCACCCGAAGAGGTTCACCGCACCTTGAGGGATCTTGAATCGCAGGCGTCCTATCGGCGCCGGTCCTATCAGCGCCCTTCACCACTTGCCAGAGTCCCCCACGATGAGATCCTCCGTGTCTTGCGAGACATGGACCGCCAGCGCACCGAAGACCGAACCCGCCGCCGTGAAGCTCAATCCCGATATACCGCACAGACGCCGCCGCCTGCCACTCCATCACCGAAACGACCTAGACAAGAGCAAGCGCCTCCCACTCCACCGCCGACGCAGCCAAGGCGCTCCCCCAAGAGACCCCGGCCGATGCGAGAACCGTTCAACTTCAACGAGACTCTGTCGAATCCATACTGCATCACTACAACGCCACTTTCCGCGTCAAGGAGCAGGCATCATCGACAAGATCCTGGTGCAACGAAGTTCCGGTTGCCCTCCAGGTAGAGGCTGCTAAATCTTTCTACCAAGCGTTTACCGAGGAACGGACGTTGCCGGTTTCCCACTGCGTCTTCTGCTATAAGAAGACACCGCCTTGCGAACTCGCCACCATGCAGTGGAGGGGTCGCTTATCGCCCTCCATGTCGCAGGCGACCAGGACTATCCAAGAGTGTGGCACGTGCCTTCCGTCACACGAGGGCGCCGGAGTTGATGTGTGCCGCGAGTGCCGCGTCAGCTTCGACAGGGGACGGCTGCCCAAGGCCTGCTCGGTCAACAACATGGCCATCGGTTGTGAGCATCGGTACCCCGACGAGCTTGATGACCTCTCTCCCGTCGAAGAGAGACTCATTGCCCTGCATGCGCCTTTTGGCTATATCACCAAGTTCACGGTCGACAACAAGACCCGTTCGGGAATCAGTTACCGCAAGCACGTGAAGGGACATATCGTCGTCTTTCCGAACAAGGTGGACGATCTGGTGGCCACGGTTCTACCTCATCCCTTGCTGCAGGCCATTGAGAACATCCACGTCTCTTGGAGCGGTTCGGGCAAGCCTGGCTCCGCAGACGTCAGACACCTGCTTCAGGTGCGCAAATCTCGAGTGGCAGCTGCCCTGACATGGCTGCAAAGGAACAACCCACTTTACGAGGATATCGCAATCAACCAAGCAGAGATGGACGGCTGGCAGTATGCCGACGGCTCCAGTGTCCCGACTCTCATCATGGACCGCATGCGAAGAGAGGAACCGTCGACCGTTGAGAAGACACAAACGGACCACATAGTCCCGGACACTGATCGAGGCTTGGAGGAAAACAACTTCAGAAGCATCGATGAACTGGTGAACTCGATTAATCCCACTCTTGCGGCTGAATCTTGCGATTTAGACTGTACTCTGTCCACTGAGCAGACTCAACCATCCCCTGGTGAGCCGGCGACTCTTGTCCCCGACTCGGCTGTCATCGGCCTGGAAGTTGACACCGTCTGTGAGATGTCTACGTCCGGCATGTTTCCCCTCGACGGACCGGCTGCCTTCGCGGATACCGATAAGCTGTCGTTTCTGGCCGATATCGTCAACGCCAATCCGGATCGACATGGCAACTCTGTGCCGTGCGTTATGCAGGTCCAAACTACGGGAGATCAGCCATTTGTCCGAGTAGAGCGTGGTGCGGATTTTGCAGACAACCTACACGAAGATTTCTTCCCTCGAACATTTCAGAAGCTTTTTCCGTGGGGAAGGGGCGTCCCGAAATCGAAGTGCGACTCGAGTCACAGCCGACAAAGCGATGCTGTCGACCGTCACCCGAATCACTCTCTTAATTACTGGGCCAGATACGTATTGCAACGGCATGGAGGCCGATTCGCCACCCATACTGTCTTTTGTTTCTTAGTATTCAACACCCTCCTTCGCTCCTCCAACCGCCGCATCAGCATGGCCCGTGTCGCTAAAGATTCCTTCCACAGACTTGAGCAAGCCTATGCGAACTTGACCGAGGACCGACTGAAGAGAGCCGAGGCGGAGATGCGGGAGACGAGGACTACGTCGGACCCCGACGTATCGGTCTTGCTTCGCGAGCTGTCGATTTTCGGTCATGCACAGCCGCTCTCGAACGAATCCCGTTTGCTTATGCGGAGGAAGATCCAAGCTCTGGACATCCGCGCCGGTATGCCTGCAATCTGGATTACCATCAGTCCTAACGACATAAATAATCCGGTGAAGATGAAGCTTGCTATTCACCGGCTCCACGATTATGAGTCTGCAAAGGAACTTTTGGCCGATCTCCGTGAAAAGTACGACAGAATCGCCCTCAGCACCATGGATCCGGTCAGCTCGGCCATCTTCTTCCACCGAGAAATATCCCTATTCTTTGACAAATACGTGAATACAGGCCGGGAATCGATCTTTGGCAATATTAGCCACTACTACGCCACGGTGGAAACGAACGAGCGAGGCAGCCTCCACTTGCATGGACTCCTCTGGCTGGACGGGAACATGCGGTTACCGAACCTGATGGACGACATGGCCAACCCCGCGGAAGGAGCATACCGTGCCCAAGTGATCCGATACGTAGACTCCGTCTTTCATGAGTGTCTAGATGAAGATGCTGGAAAGGCCGTGCGACAACAGAGGAAGCCTATCCATCCCGTGGAGGAGGTCATGACCAGCACCTCGGCTCTTAGTGCGGCCTTCGAAGACGAATCCAACTTCATCGCGTACTATTGCCAAGTGCACTCCCACACGTACACCTGCCTTAAGTATTCTCTGAAGGGTATCATTGAACAAGGTGCGAATCCACAGAGACGAACGGCCTGCCGCTTCAAAGCACCGTGGAAAATCGTCGACGAGACGGGGTTCACAGACGACGGCTTGCTTCAGATCCGGCGCAACCATCCACTCGTCAATCGGTATAACAAGTCATTGGCGGTCGGCCTTCGCCATAATCACGACGTCTCGATGATCTTGACCAAGACCAAGGGCCTGGCCATGGTGTACTACATCACGAACTACGCCACCAAACTGGATACGCCGATGTGGAAACGCATTTATTGCAGCACGTCGGTGCTGTAGTGACCCAAACACCAAACCTTGTTCCCCTCTCCTCCGAGCTCATGCAGACCAGGGCAACCATACGTACATACATACTCTCGCGAAGGAGAGAGCAAAAGTGGGCATAAATGTGGATAAAGGGACTTTTTGAAGGTCGAGTATCGTACGATCAGATGTTGTGTTAATTTTCTCTCCTCTGCTGCCCTGTATCCGTCTAGGCTTCCCCTTTTATATCCCTCTGTGCCTTCCCTATGTTCATATCCCGTGTTCAGGTATAATATACATTCTATCAGGAAGAGGGCACTCCTTGCCTCTCACTGAAGGCCGCGTAAGCCATCTACGTCAGCACATTCAGCTCGATCTCCCCGATCAATAGCTTTCCAAGCTATTAGGCCGATAGTTCAATCTCTTGAGGTCCCCGAGCCAGTAAAAGATATACCGGACTCCTTGGAGGATCCCGTTCGAATAGGAGATCCTCCGGACCCCTCAGTGGACCGCAAACCTCACTCCTTACAGGCTTACCTGGTTTCGAGCTGTATTACCTAGAGAGACTTAGAGGCCTCACTTTGTTCGGACCTTCTTCTCGACACATACTTTGTATATACATACATAAATACAAGGTATATATGCATGTACGTATGCACAGACATGCCTCGGGGCCGGCACGTTAACCTTGCCATGGACAGCACGTGGCGATCGCGGCCTTGACCACCATCTCGCCGTGACGCCTAAGCCATGTTGTCTTGATACCTCAGGGTCTGACCTCGACTAGCCCCGGGCAATTATCATGCCCGCAGCCAGGGAGGGCTATAATCTGCATTGTCACCAGACGGAAATATTCGGACGTCGGCCGGCTATGTGTCTATTTTCTTCACATCTACGAATACGCAGGTCCCGCCGACAGCAAATCGACAAATTGATAGGGATACACATGTCCGCCACTCAAGAGGCATCGTATCTTTCTAGAGCCGGTGGCAATAGTTTTCACCCTTCTGTGGGGGATATGTTTACACCAAGCCACAGTTCGAAAACACTTGGCCGCGATTCCGAGGCCTTTTTGTCTTCGAATTCGCCCCTGCTAGCGAAACTTTTGCACGCAGAGCCATCCGTCTAATACAATTCTCTACATTGCAACATGTTGGCTTCACCGACAGTACGAATTCGATACATGTCAATGCAACGTAGACGTAAAGCAGCTACTGACACCGGACACCACGGGAAGGTCTGTTGCTTCGTCCTACTGCTTACTCTACTGCAGTATCCGGTGTGCTCGCCAGAGGCACGTACACGAGGGCGTTAACTCAACGAGTGCATTGCATCCACGAGAGTATAAACTCCGCTAGGGTCTCCCGGGCCGAGCGTGCGGCGTCACGTTCTTGTGCGTGCCCGCGAATCATGATGACTTTTGGCTAGACACGTTATTAATTAGCCAAGACCGCAGCATAGAGCACGACATAGGAAGAATGTGTGGCTGGCAGATTCACCGCCGTACCGAGCAAGGTCCACTACGCTGAACACTTAGAGAAGTCGGCCGGCCTTCAAGCAGGCCTTTCACAACAGACATATCTGGACAGTCTGGCAACGAAAGAGCAACATCTGTGGGGCTTGAGGAGACAGGCAGCAATGTACTGAACCGTGAATAGTAGCTTAGCGTAGTGGCCTTCTAGGGGACTCCCTCTGGGCGTAATAAATAGCTTTAGCATTAGCATCAGCCACCCTGCGGTCCCTGCCATGCCTAGATAGATAGATGCTCGGCACCGACCGGGTGCTCAATATCCCATCCCTTTCCTAGACGCCATGAAATCCACCAGATCAAAGAAACTCTTCTTGTAGAACCTCTGCTGCGTGGTTAGGTTCACCGCCTGCATTCCGAACTGCGGGCGGAAATCGCCCAACTCCCAGTTGTCGACAAAGGACCAGGCGAAAGCACCGAGGATATTGACGCCGTCCTCATGGATCGACTTGAGCATCTCGGACAGGTAAGACAAGTAGAACTGACTTCGGGGCGAGTCGAAGCGCTGGTCGGACATTTGGCGCTGGGACTCGGCGAAGATTGCGTACCCAACCTCGCCGACGACGATGGGCTTGCGGAAGGTGTTCCAGGCGTAGAAGAGGAAGGAGCGGATGTACTCGGGCGTGGCGTAGACGTACGTCTGGGCGCGGTAGCCGACGTTCCAGCCGTGGACGTCGACCTGGGACTCGACCACGCAGCTGGGGAACAGGGGATGGCTTGGCCCCTGGCGGACGCAGGCGTCGATGCCGCCAGGCGGTGGCGAGATGACGGTTGCCGTGTAGGGGTCCAGGCCGAAGAAGTCGGTCGTGTCGCCGATGTAGGCCAGCTCCTCGTCTGTCAGCTTCTTGGCCTTGGGGAGGGTCTGCAGCACGGCATCGGGATACTGCTCGCCGAGGGCTATAGGGTTGCCGTAGGTGCCCAGCTGGATGGCGTTGAACCGGTTCGCGGCTTCGACGTCGGCCTGGTTGCGAGGGTTCCTGGGCAGGCCAAAGTTGGCGTTCCATTTGAATCCCATCTGGCCCGTGGCCTTGAGGTCGTCGTGGTAGAAGTGGTAGAGCTGCGCGTGAGCGTGAACCACGTTGTCGAAGCCCGTAAAGTTGAAGGTGTTGATCATCAGCTCGTTGACCGTCACCCACATGGGCACACGGTCCGCAAAGTGTGCCAGGAGAATCTTGCCGTAGTTTACAAAGGATTCGACAAAATGTTCGTTCCAGAAGCCCATGTTGTCGAAGTGAAGATCTGGCACCTCGATTCCCGATCCGTTGGCCGTCTTGATCAAGGCGCACGGGGTGTCAAAATGGAGCATGGTAGCCACGGGCACCATGCCCTTCTCCAGGACGTAGTTGATCAAGTCGTCGTAGTGCTGCAGGCCCTGCTTGTTGATGGGTGATCCGGCGCGGCCAAAGGACAGGATCCTCGACCACGAGATGGAGAAGCTGTAGTACTTGACGCCCATGGCAGCGATGCGCTCAATGTCCTGTTTGTACAGGAAGTAGTTCTCGAGCGTCGTATGGGCCTGGGCTTGGTCTGGGGTCATGACCACTTCCAGCTGGCTTGGCCCGCGACCCTCGAGCGCAACTGCGCCCTCGATCTGGGCCGCAGATCCGGCAACGCCCAGGAAGAAGCCGTCGGGGAACTCGTACGAATCCTGGGCCAAGAAGTACTCCCTGCGCGGAGCCACGAGCTCTTCGGTGGGAACGGGGCTCGGGTTGACAGTGGTCGAGTACAGTCCGGTGGTTGTGTAGTTGGGCATGTTGGCGCTGAGCCACATGGATGACCAAGCGGCTTGGCCATAGATGTCGTCAGTGTCTGTAGCCGAGATGGCGGTTTGACCGGGGAGCCAGCTGCCGTACGTTGTCGTCGATAGGCTGGTGTTTAGGAGTTTGACAGCGTCCGAATACCGGGGACCATAGATGGTCGTGGGCGTGGATGTCGGCGCAGGCAATGAAGCCGCATATCTGAATGCAAATTAGTATTTCCAGCCTTTTTTTTGACCACAGATGAGAGAGCAAATAAATGCATGCGCATCTCACCTTACGGTACTGGTGAGTGTGTAGGAAAACGGTTGGAAATAGTACGAAGGCTTGTTGGCATTCGGTTTTGCCGCACCGCTCGTTGGTTGAGCTGCATCAGAAGTGCCTACGATGTAGACTTCTTGACCCTGGACAAGAAGAGCCGCAGCACCGGTGATGATAACAGCGGTCAAGCGCATGATGATGAGCTGAAGGGACTCGAAGAAACGTTGGGAGTGCGATAATATCGAGCAACCGACCGTCGCCGCAGACCACCTGGGCAACCCGACAGCTTTGTACATGTACAATGCTCTAAGCAGGTAGTAGTAGCTTCACGTTATTATTATTTTGTATTGCGCCCGGAGGGTTCCCCCATAGAGCCACTACGCTAAGCTACGTACCTACTGTACATGGTTCCATCGCACCTGAAGCCCCACGCTTCTTTTCATCTGTTTCCAGCCTCGTTCGCTGTGACATGACAGGCCTGCTTGAAGGTCAGTTTCTCCAAGTGTTCAGCGTCCTACCTTCAGCGACTGAAGCGCGGTCTGCCAAGTTGAAGGCTGTTGTGTTAGTATGATTATCCCTTGATCAGTACATGGTCCCTCGTCGGTCCATACTGAAGCGTTTCGTTGCCAATGCGAACTGTATTGTCGCCCGTACAGCCCCCATATCGGGCTGCCACTTGTTATCGTCTGACTCTGCCTTGCCTCCTAGGAAGAAAGACAGGTTTCCCATCTTTCCGCGAGCATATCGAAGCATGATTTCTCGTTGTACCGTCCATCTTCTGCATCAAAAGAGGAAATGTTCCACCGTTTCCGCCGACTGTCCGCAGGTGCACTCATCCGATTCCTCTGCCCCGATTTTGCGAAGGTAGCCATTCAGTCGTGATTTGCCAGTTCGAAGTTGTACCAACACTTCAGATTCCTTTCTAGTTAGCTCGTCGTACATCTTGCGGGTGTGCTTGCCCGGCAATGCTTTATCGATGCGCTTTGAGTGCTTTCCAACCCTTTCTGGGATCTGACGAACGCGAGTGTGTTCGTTGAGCAGCAGTCGTAACGTCGTTGCTCTTGCCTGAAACGTTGCTGGTTCAGCGATGCATTCATCTCGCGTCGCTCTTTTCGCTTGCATTTTGGCCAGTGGCCTAGAGTGAACTCCTCATTCTTTGCAGGCACCCAGCGAAGTCTGACTCTGCAGCCTCTTTTCGCCAGATACTCAACAGATCCGTATATCGCCCGTATCGTGCACTGACCAGACTGCTGCCGTGGCCGCCCGATGACTTGCAGGACAGAGCGGTTGCTTGTCACAACTGTGAGCTCTCGGTCATGAAGACCGAGAGGCACACACCTCAGGCCATGGCGATTGCCTCGAGTCCTGCTGTGTAGGCATTCTGCTCATCACTGGAGCCGAGTGGCGGAGTAGCTGGCCAGCACCCCGTCTGCGCTGTCGCGGGAAGCATCCCGAACGACGCCTCCCAACCCGACCTTGCCTTTCCTTTGAGAGCTGGACGTCGCGATAGTGATGCCCTCCGAGTCATCCGGCTTCACCACCTCCACTCGGTCTGTCTCATCCGTTACCTGCACTCGGTCCTCCCACGGCGCCAGTGCGAACTCGTGGATGACTTCCAGGCGCTTGGTGTCTATTCTTCCCATCGCCGAGGCGAGCTTCTGCATTGGCGAAGCATACCTCCTGTTCAGCTTGAGCCTCAACGATGTCAGAGGATGCGTCTTCGGGAGCGTCCGCATCCTTATCCAGAATTTCGTCGCTGCTTGAGTGTGCCGTTCTCGAACTGATTGCACTCCGGCCTCGGCCTCGGCCACTGCCGTTGCAACTGTGCGGAAGCCTCCCGTGACTGCCTGGGCTCCAATTCGCTGGGCCCTGCCAATCCACGACGCTTCTTTCGCCCGCACGCGTGCGACCACACGTTTGAAGCATAGTCCATGGTTGGCGCCACGGTCGCGACGAACAGTTGCCTCGCCATCCGTGGCGAGGCCATCTTCAGTCGTTTCAAGCACATGGCCGCGGCCAGCCCCTTGGCGGCCGCACTGGCGATGTGCTCTTTGAAGCGAAGCGCCTTGTCCATGATGACTCCCAACAGCTTCACGTTCTTCTTCGGCTTGATATCGTTTCCTTTGATGGTGAGGGGCAATTCGCTGTCGCGCTCCGCGATGCGTGTGAAGTGGATGACGGATGTCTTATCCGCTTCAAACGTGGCGCCGCTGCGCTTCTCCCAATCGAGCGCATCCTCGATAATCGACTGAATACCATCTCTGTTCGACTCTGCCGTTGGTCCCGTGACCCAGGCAGAGTAATCGTCCACAAAGGCGATGGACCCACCGTTGTTACTGATCCGTCTTTGCACCAGGTCCGCGTTGAAGAAAGAAAAGCCACTGGCGACAGTGGCGATCCCTGTGGTAGACCGGCCTGCGGCAGGGCTGGTGCTCGGATGTGTGCCCGTTGACAACCACCGACGCGGTCCGTTCCGAGCAGAATGCGTCCATCCAGACGACCAATCTGTCCGGGATGCCCCTTGCTCTCATCCTGTCAAGCAGCCGCTCTTTGCAAACTCCATTGTATGCCCCTTTAACGTCAAAGCTGATGAGGCTTAGCACTCTGCCCATTCTCCACGCCTTGTAGATCCGCTCCTGCAGAAGCACTAGTGCTTGGTCTGCCGATCTACGTTTCCTAGCGCCGAAGTGGTTCGCGGACAAAGCCCATGGGCCTCAACTGCGTAGCTGATGCGTTCTGCTACGACTGCTTCCAGAATCTTGCCAAGGGTCGACAGAAGAGAGATCGGTCGCCACGCCTTGGCCAAGGTATAATCTCCTTTACCAGGTTTCCTCAAGGGAATGATCTTGGCCGTTCGCCATTGATGAGGCACCACGCCCTCTCGGAGCGATGAGTCGAAAAGCGTCCACACCGGACCTTGACCACGTGCCAGAGCTTCTTCCAAACCATCGCAGGAAGACCGTCCTCCCCAGGCGCTTTCAAGGCTTCGCCGCCATCACCTTATCCTCAATCTCTTGCAAGGTGAGGTCCGGCATGGCTATCTCTTCTCTTTGCGGACGTTCACCTCCGGTTCGATCCTCGTTGGCAGAGGCGGGAAGAAGGTGCTCAGGAGCTCCTCTGCTTGCTCGCCCTTGCCTTCGGTGATCGAGCCGTCGGCTCTCTTCAACGGCGGCACCTTGTCATCTGTCATCTCCGTACCAGACTTCACATACTTGACTGCCTTCCAGATGTTGCTCTCGTCCGTGACGAAGTCATCCCAATGGGCCTTTTCTGTCTCCGCAAGTTGTCGTGGTACCTTGGCAGCCTCCTTGGCGCGTTGCTCCAGATCCGGCCGTGACTGGCCGGCTCGTCGCTGTGCCCTCGCTTGATTGCGCCAGTACGTGTATGTCCGCCGCAGTCGTGTAAGGTCCTTCGTCCACCATCGTTTCGCGTAAGGCGGCGGCTGTGCCCGGGGTGTCAGATCGTGCAGCACCTTGGTGACCACCCGCATGAGCTGATCCGCCTGCGTCTGCACCCCCACGTTCCACGGAAGAGGTCGAAGCTCGTCCTCGACCCTGGCTGCGATGGCGACCCACGGCGCGTTCCTGAGCAGCAGGCGCTGCGGAAACATTCGCTCCGGTACTTGAATGTCAAAGGTCGTCTGGATCGCTCTGTGGTCTGATCCGTGCTCTGTCGGGTGAATCACGCAGGATATCACCTCGTCTGCCAGTTCTGCCGATGCCAGCACCAGGTCGATGGTGCTCTCCTTGTCCGGCCCCTGCCACGTTTTCGTCCCTCTCGGGAGAAGGCTGCAGAGACCAACGTCGTCCATCAGGTCAACGATGGGCTGACCTTCCCCTTGTCTTCTCGCTGACACCTCATCTCCGCCCCAGAGGAGATCGTGGCGATTGAAGTCCCCCGCCAGAACCACATCTGTGCGGTTTCCTGTTCCATTGCGGAAGCGATCGATCACGTCGCGCAACACCTCCATCGCGCTCGCCAGCGCCTCGTCGTTCTTCCCTTCCACATACACTGACACCACCATCACCTCCCTCCCCTCGAGTCGAACTATCGCTACTGTAAGGTCAGCCGACGGCACGGATACTTGCTCTGCCTCAAGGTCACTTCGGATCCAGAGCATGCTGCGGATCGGCCATGAGGCGTCACGAACACACGTCGGAATCATCTTTGTCCAGTTACGATGTCCCATAGGACTCGTCACCACCTTTCCGTCGATATTGCGCGCATGTGGCTCAGATATAGCCAGTGCGACAAAATCCTTCAGGTCTTCGTCGTTCATCAGACTCTGCTGCACATCACTCTTGTGTGCATTCAGCTGTAGGATGCGGAGGGACTCAAGCATCGCTGCTCGGGTTCCTCATCCTGCACTTCCAGCTAAACGACTCATGCGGTCCGCCGCACGGGACGCATTTTGGCTCAATCGCTGTGCACTCTAGCTTCACGTTCCACGAATGAGTTGTCCCTTTGTATATTGATATGGGCCAGACTCCGCCATTCCGGCCCGTACCCTCAAAGCCCGCAGCGGTTCCTCGGTCGTCATCCTTCGTTTCAAGCGTTCAAGCGTCATCACATGAAGAGAGAGCGCAAGCAACAACAAGCTACACCAGCCCATATGGTTCCTACTGCAGTGTGATCCAACGGCGTGCTATTTCCTAGTACTGTTTCTCGAACCTCCGGTCCGACGGACGGACCTGTGTCGGACTGCGTCGATGAAAACCAAACCCAGTCGTCATGCAATAAATAGTACAAGACGGCATCGCTTGGGCCGGACAGCACCGAGTGATCGAGATTAGAGGTCGTTTATTATGGCTCGTCCGGGAATATCTCGAGATTGAAAAGGTACGAGTAGAGCTCAGAATTTGTGGGCTGAAAAGAAAACATGCCCCGCAGTGCCATTGACGAGGATTGATAACCTTGTTAATACTTCGTACTAGCGGTCGATTTTTATGGTGTTGTGGGTATTGTTAACCCACCCAACTCCTCACTCACACGCCAGACTAACCTCATCAAGCTCGTCCCATACCGACCTTGCCCGTACAAGTACTAATTACTCGTAATTCGTATGATCCTTCTTCTGCCGCGGATCGGTAGGCTCCTCGGCCGCGGGCACATTGGATATTACCACACGGAACGGCACAAGGCTCCACCATCAACCCTCCGAGATACTACTTCGTGCGGAAAGGACGAAGCAGGTACTACATCGCATATTATGGACCGGCACCGGGGCCGAGGATCGGATATTGTGGGCTAAAGGAAACATCCCGAGGTGCCATTGACGAGGATCGATAACCTTGTTACGGACGGAGTAGTAGAGTAGCCGTTGGGCTTAAGGTGTTGTGGGTTTGTTAACCTACAAACACGGCGGAACAACGTCGTGCCTTACCAAGCTTGCAAGCTTACACCTTATGAGTAACTTATGTACGTGTATACATCTTAGTGCGACGGCTATTGTTTTCGTTTGCTCTTTCGTCTGCCGCGGATCCGCAAGCTCCTCGGCCTCTGGCGCATGGCACGAAACGGCGCAAGGCTCCACCAAACAATTCCCAGGATACTACTTCGTGCGGAATGGACAAAGCAAGCAAATCGAGTATTATAGACCGGCACCGGGCGGAGACGACCGACCGGATGAGCCGAGTCCGTGAGCCAGAGTCGGCAACGGACGAGACTTTCAGGTATTTTCCCGATCAAAGCAAAGTTCCGGAAATGTATCCAGTCATAGTTATCGATAGGCTTGCCAGGAGGATTCCGATATTCGGCCAGTCCACTTGCATACTTTTAGACGACCAAGTTGCAAAAAAGGGGTCATACATCGAATGGCGGGAATGCGAATTCGGTTCCGTTGAATGATGCACAAGCAGTACAGTTTGCCGCAAGTCACGGTATGCGCCGCCTTCCGGAGAGGTCCAGAGGCGTGGTGAGGTTGGTATTGGGCTTTGCATAGTGCATGACAAGGTCAAGTTTATAAAAACATATGCAAGTCCTTGATGCCAAGCAAGTATGCTGGACCTCATTCGTTCGAGCAACATTTGAGCCAAGATGAGTCGCCATTCTGGATTTCTGGCGCAATGCGTCGTGGCGGTTTGCTCGATCGCTTCGAGAGGACTTGCCACAATTCCTTCCACTCGTGCTCCAGAGGTTACGGTGAAAATGGAACGTATTCTGGAATGTACAGCCCTGGGTATCACCAAGACTTCTTCCTGGGAATGCCCTACGCACAGGTACGAACAAACAAAGTCACAGTTCCGGCTTGCGGAACCCCAACACTCAACTGACATGTCCTATGCCTACACAAGGTTCCTGACCGATTTGCGGTTGCAACTGGTCTTCGCACGTCGTGGGATGGCATCCACAATGCCACGAAATACCCAGCCCACTGCGTTGGCTACGGATGGGATGAGCCAGGATATGAGGTTTCCGAGGACTGTCTGTACCTCAATGTCGTCCGCGCAGCGGGAGTCCGGGACACATCCTCTCTGCCAGTGGCTGTTTGGCTACACGGGGGCGGCCTTTTTATGGGCGGATCGGCAGACAAGAGATACAACTTGTCCTTCATTGTCGAGCACAGTGTCAAGATTGGACGTCCCATTATCGGCGTCAGCTTGAACTATCGTCTTTCGGCCTTTGGATTCCTATCTGGTAGAGAAGCAATGGAGTCGGGAGTTACGAATATCGGCTTCAAAGACCAGCGTTTGGCTCTACAATGGGTCCATGAAAACATCGAGGCCTTTGGCGGCTCGCCGGACAAGGTGACCATATTTGGTGAAAGTGCGGGTGCAGAAAGCGTCTCGGCACAAGTACTTGCCTACAACGGTAAGGAGATTTGCAAAACTCGGGGATACTCTTGATGAGCAACTGGCTGACCTGTTGCAGGACGAGACGACAAGCTATTCCGCGGAGCTGTCGGCCAATCCGGGTTTGGTGCCGTCATCAAGAGGAGACCGTACAACGGAGGCTTGAACGACACAGAGCTGCAGCAAGCCACCTACGACCAACTCGTCCGAAACACATCCTGCGCGAGCCATGTTGGCACTCCGAGTCGTTGGATTGTCTTCGAAAGGCCCCTTCGAGGAGGTCAACCGAGCTCTGAACGTCTCGCAAGTCGGACCATGGGTCCCCGTTCTGGACCATGACTTCCTGCACGACTATCCCACAAACCAGCTACGCAAGGGCAACTTCGTCAAGGTTCCACTGCTGGTCGGTGTCACCACTGATGAGGGTGGTGGTTTCGTGACCGATTCGACAAACTCGGATGAAGACGTGCGAGAAGCCCTCAGGGCGCAGCTCATATCGAACAACACGGCAGAGAACGTCGACCAGCTGCTGAAAGAGCTGATGTACTTGTACCCGAACGTGCAGTCTATCGGCATTCCTTCGCTCAAGACGTGGTCTCATATTATCCAGCCAGGTGATGCGGGCAGCCCGAATCTGGGGTCGCAATATAGGCGCATGGCAGCTATTGTCGGGGACATGACATTTCATTTCTCTAGAAGGCGGGCCAATTTCGCCTGGTTCGAGCATGGAGTGCCGAGCTATGCTTACCGCTTCAACGTGCTTGTCAACGGGGCACCGGCACCATTCGGCTCCGCTCATTTTCAGGAGGCAAGTTATCAAAACCCACAGAGCTACCCCTTTTTGTACGGCATCTTAACGCTGAACTGCTATTTAGGTTGCATTTGTCTTTCATAACTGGAACGGCGAGGGGTACAGCCCAGCGAATCCTTTTGGCGGAAATGACGCAGTGTACACGGCCAAGGCAACAGCACTGTCAACGAATATGTCTACCGCGTGGATCAACTTTATCAATGAACTAGATCCGAACGGCAAGGAAGACATTGGGCTGCCAAAGAACGAGACATGGCCAAAGTACGACCGAACGGCTGGTGGAGGCGTGGGGAGGAACATTGTGTGGGATTTGGACGGCGCATTCGTTGAGATGGATGACTGGCGGGCCGAAGGGATCAACTGGATGATTGAGAACGCCATGACCGTCTTTGGGACGTAATTTATTAAGGCCCAGAAACGATTCATTGCAGTGATCTTGTTGGAACAAAGTGAGGCCTCTAAGTCTCTCTAGGTAATACAGCTCGAAACCAGGTAAGCCTGTAAGGAGTGAGGTTTGCGGTCCACTGAGGGGTCCGGAGGATCTCCTATTCGAACGGGATCCTCCAAAGGAGTCCGGCATAACTATTACTGGCTCGGGGACCTCGAGAGCCTGAACTATCTATCTAATAGCTAGAAGAGCTATTTGATCGGGGAGATGGAGCTGGTGTTGCTGACGTAGATGACTTACGTGGCCTTCAGTAAGTGGCAAGAAGTGCCCTCTTTCTGATAGAATGTATACTATACCTGAAAGCGGGATATCAACTTGGGAGAAGCTTGGAGGGATACAAAAGGGGCTGTTGGGACGGGAAAAGGGCAACCGGGGGGGGCGCAGAGAAAATTAACACAATATCTGATCGAACGATACTCGACCTTCAAAAATGTCCCTTTATCCACGTTTATGCCCACTTTTGCTCTCTCCTTCGCGAGACGCGTAACTCTCGTCCGATGTGCGGAGAGGAGGCAGTCTGCCGATTCAGCTATCATTGCAGGGGGTTAGCTAGTACTAAGGCGGGCATCGGCGGCAGCCGCGGCGGCCACGGCGATGGGAATGCCCGCGCCCAAATTTGGTGGCGGGGCCCTCTTCCTAATGGGGCAGAAGTTCTCACGAAGAAAGTCAGCAGAAAGGTCATATTGTATTCCGTGTCTCTGTTCTCCTCCCTTTCTGCCCTAAACCCAAGCCCCTATTTATATCCCTCTTTCGTAGTAAAGGTAATGTGTTCAGGGAGGCTGGGGACCTGGGGGTTCCCAGCCTCTCGACTGGAGATGTTCCAGTCTTTTAAGAGGAGCTTTCCAGCCTCCTCGTTCAGACCTGGTTATCAGCTCCCTTGCTGCCCTAGCTACCCATGGGTGACCTGGTTGACTCGACCATGGGCCGTTCTTCGCGACAGAAGTCACCGTCGACGTTATGAAATCGTGTCAGATAACCGTTACGCCACCAACAAAAGTGCAGGCCCACACCTAGTGTGGAATAATAGTACCTGTGGATAGGCTAACTGAGGCTCAGTTGGGTCTTTGATCGGTGATCATGTTGTTGTTGTTATTCTTTTTCTATCTAGACCATGCGGTGAGGTTTGATAGGTTGTGTGTGTGTGTGCGGGTAATCGTTGTTCCCTGATGACGCACGTGATATCCTTCTGCGATGTGCGCTCTATCGTACAAATGATCAGACAGTACCTGTCGGGAGGTCTGTACTGCAGTAACGCAATGGGTTGTATTCAAGATGTCTAGCTAGGAAGGGAGGAAAGGGAATGAGGGGGCACACTACGTGCCCTTTATACACGGATCCCCGAGGTCCATACACGTGACGCTAAGGGTCACGTGTGCGTGTGTGCGCACCTCCCTTACAATCCTACTATAGCTATATGCTACATTCTGTCAGAACAGCGGTTCTGCGGCTCGTCCGAATGAGGAAGGTGGCAACGATAGTGGGCACACAGAAGAGGTCAATTGGAGCTATATGCACGGCTGTGTGTGTGTAAAGGCGATGTGTGTGTTGCCCCCTTCCGGCTAGGAATGTGCCCCTTTTGGGCCCGCAGAAATCTCGGCTGAATGCCCCACGTGACCTGGCAGGTGACCCATGCCGCCCTTCCTGCTGCGCCGTTCCAACACATTCCCACACTGGCAAATCTTCTTTTATCGCTGCAATCGCTGCAATCGCTGCAGTAGCAGCGGGTGCGGGAGCGTGGGTGCGGGAGCGTGGGTGCGACCGCAAGGGTGCGACCGCAAGGGTGCGACCGCAAGGGTGCGACCGCAAGGGTGCGACAAGGGGGTGCGACAAGGGGGTGCGACAAGGGGGTGCGACAAGGGGGTGCGACAAGGGTGACGGTTCGAGCGGCAGCTAGCGGGGAGGGCGTTCGACTGATCCTTCTATCCTAATCGTAAGGCTATTCGTATCGACGAGGCGTTCGAGGGCGCGGTTAGGCGATGCCTTTGTCATAGCATCTGCTGGGTTGTCTGCGCCGTTAATCCAGCGGATTTCTGTGATCTCACGCCTTTCGTAGGATTGACGTAGGCCATGATATCTATCATCAATCGCTTCTCCTTCGTTGTGCCTAGCTTAACGAGGCACTCGTAGAGGAAAAGAGTCGGTGCAAACGATTAGGGGATAGGGGGAAGATTGAGGCGGTCTGTGATCTTCCGTATCGTCGTTGCTAGTGATATCCCAATATCGAATCCGTTGACCATGCCGTAGATCTCTGATGCTAGCACGCTTCGGGTGACCCTCTTACACTTCGTTGAGCTCCAATGGAGGACATTGCCCTTGATCCCGAATTGGTCTTTGGTACGTGCGGTCTCGGTCTCATTGACTAGGGCAATGACGAAGCCTAGCTGTGACGATAGGTCCTTATTGTTCGCAAAGGAACCGTCGGTAAAGACGATAAGCTTGGCATTGGCGAGGTCAATAGGGATATACGTTAGGCCTCGCTGCTGGTGGTCTTTCTGCCATTGAAGCCGCTTGTTGAGGGTCGTGCAATCCTCTTCCGTAGGGGTTTGGACCTGGGCAGCAATAGAGATGTCGAATGAGGCCTCTGGTTGACAGATTGAAGCCACATACGCGCCACGGGCACGCTGTTCCACGTACTGTTGGGCTCGATCGTATGCCTTGGTGTCACAGGTCCCGGGGCCGGCTGACCGGTCATCCGGTAATCGGATTACCGCCCCGCCCCATGCAAAACCATGTCGTTTTCGAAGGCCCGGCCCTGCGGGGCTGGCGTTTTCTTAGTCGGATTACCGCCATCGGACGGCAAAATCGAAGGTCCACGCCCGCGGGGCCCTGCGCGAGACCTTCGATTTCGGTCTCGCTCACGCGCGTTGCGCTCCCCCCCCCTCCCCCCCCCCCCCTCCCCCCCCTCCTCCATTGCCACCGTCGCGACGGCGACCGCCTGCACCATGTCAAACGCGATAGAGGATCCCCGGGTCAGGGCGGCCATTGAGCACTACCTGTTAGATCTGGAGAACACCCAGCCGAAGAATACGAAGCGAAATTATCGTCCCAAGCAGGAAGAATGGAAGGCAAGCCGCATGCGCGCCCTGCAATCTTCATGTAGATCCATGCATTGACTGCCTCACAGGAGTGGTGTCAAGCCAACTGGCCTGCGATCCCGGACGTTTGGCCGGCCTCGGTACCACAGGGCCAACAGCTACCGGGAGACCTGGTCGATGAAGGAAAGCTCTTGCTCTTCATGAAGGAGGTAGTGGCATCACGTCCTCCAAAGAAAGGAAAGAGGGTCGCCGATGAAAGAAAACGACACCTCGAGGCTCAGGAAGCCAAGAGGGCCGTGAAAGACGCAGAGCACCATCAGGTAACAGATGTTGATCACGGGATGTGGTCGTCGGACTGAGCCAGCCCATCATACTAACACCCAGCTTCCCCAGCAGATACCATCGTTGTAGGCGGCGGAGGTAGCGAATACGAGTCAGACTCCGACTTGGAGTTGTATGAGTCCACGCTCAAACTACAGTATAATACTGTACGGGGCTACGTCTCGGCCATACAGAAGCTTTACGACGAGCAGAAGAGCCGGGAGTCAATCCTGCGGCCCGGCCACAGGGAGTGGCACTGAAGGCGCTCAAACGCAGCATTCTTGCAACGACTTGGAGCCGGAAGAGGAAGGAATACATGGACAGGGAGTTGGAACTCTGAGAGATGTGTATGCGCCGGCGCAGATACCCGACCACACCAACGTGGCATGGTCCGAGAGAGAGATCGCCTGCGCCCTGAGGACGCAGGTGGACTTTCTGCTCGGGAACCACATGCTGCTGCGGTCCGGCAACCGCCTGCCGATGGAGTTGGCAGACTGCTTTCCCTGGACTTACCCAACGAGGGCTTCAAGGCCCAGGGTATACCACAAAGGCGCTGGTTGTCGTGATGAACTGTGGGAAGACCAACCAGCACGGCCGCATGGAGTATGGATCTGCTTTGCGGCATCGAGATCCGCGATCTTGTCTCATCGGCGCCCTCGCGTTCTGGCTTTTCTGGCGCTGGCAGGTAGAAAAGGCGGAAAGGTTTCCGGTCTTCCAAAGAAGCGAAGACTGGTATGAAACGAAGGTGCTCCGCCGATCGGCGAAGGAGCCTCAAGGTAAGCGTGATGGCATTCACCGGAATCCCATAACTCAGAGGTGCATCGACCCTTTCACTCACCGAATATACAGCTCCGTTGTCGGGCCAGACTGCCCGAGAATGGACGTCCAGGTTCTACAAGAAGGCCGGCATCAAGGTCTCCAAGGTCAGCCACGCGCCTAGAGTGGCGGCGACGCAAAACGCCGACATGGCCGAGTGGATGAAGGCCAGGCATGTCATCTGCCCTAGGCAAGCCGCCAACCCCCTGGCCTGGGCTGACCCGAACTATACAGATCCGCCGAGCCGGTCGTTGGAATAACGGAGACCAAATGACCGGCTGCTATCTGACTTCCCTGCCTTTCGAATTCATGAGGGCCGTGGCCGACTTTGACCCTGAATGGTCGGGGTCTTATTTCGTGCCCGGGCCACCGTGAGGCCGCCTGTGGTGCTACTCGTGCAGGTCTGGCCTCAACTCGACAAATGGAAAGAGGCCCACAGTAGCCCTTTCTCAGATCTGGGGTGGAGCAGAACATGGCCGCCGGCGCCTTCTTGGAACTCCTGGAGTGGCTTCGAGAGGTGCTCCTGCAGGACGCTGTCTTCCTTCGCGAGTCCTACCCCGACCATCCTATCTTTCAGGATCCGGTCTTCTCTTGCCCCGAGTTTGAAGCGTTCGCCAGCAAAGTTCAAGACACATGCACACGGGACCACGAAGACAGCCATACCACGGTCATTCAAAAGCGATCCCGGTGGTTGCGGAGAAGCTGCGCACAGTACTGACTCAACAGGTCGCAGCCGAGCAGTTAGCTGAGCGAAGACATCTAGACCTTTTGGGGGCTTCTTACGAACTATGCACAAAGTTGGATGAGTTTGCGCAGGCCACCTACACCGTCACCTTCAGCCCCGGCCAAGGTGCTGCAGGTCAACATGCGGAGATCGCGGGAGCTCATCAACAGAGGCGCCGCGCTCCACGAGAGACGGTCCTCAGGTCCGAGATAGGCCCTTCGCAAGCGGGCGGTCCGACATACGCTCCGCTCTCTCTAGAGCAGCAGCAGGGAATGGTGCAAGCGGGCCAGGGGCAAGCCCCCCAGGGAAGAGCGCATGGCGAGCCGCCTGGGCCGCGCGAACCTCCGAGCTTCAAGCTCCCCCGTTCTGTCAAATCTGTACAGGAGCTGCTGCGTCTCTGGCGGCAGGGCTGGGGCGAAATGCCTTCTGTGGATTCTCTTGAGCGAGACTGGGGTGCTCGATGGCGGCCATCTGCAGAGAAGAATTACTTTTCCACGCGCAAGATCATCGTCGATGAGGTTCGGAGGCGGGCCCAGTCGGACGGCTTAACTGAAGATATCGTGGCGAGGCAAATGGACGAAGAACGTGGACCCAGCTCTTTGGATAAGTTGTTCAAGGCCATCCGAAAGGACAGGCAAGGCGAAAAAGGGACACAAACGTGCGTCGGGGCAATTCAACGTCGGTGGTAGCGAAAAGTCGATGGCGCAGTGATTTTGAACACCCGTCTGATAGAATGACGAGGACCTTGGCGGCGAAAGTGCCCCCAGGCCGTCAGGGGCTGCGTCGCTACAGTCAGCGGTAGTGGCCTGTAGACAGGGTATGCATCCGCTAAGCGCCGCTGTAGCTCCAGCGCGTCAAGGCTAGAAAATGCTTCAAATCACCGCAACCTCGCAACCGACAGGATGTAGGACCTTAGACAGGGTGCATTCTGATCGCACAAACGCAGGCTATCCAGTCGAACTGGTTTTGTCGTCGTCGGTCCCGGCTTTCGCGCTTTATGGCGCTCCGAAGATGACATCAACCCGGCAGAGGTGATGTCAAGGGCAAGCGGGTAATCGGCGGTAATCTGCGGGGTAATCCGCTGACCGCCCACCAAAGCCGGACCTGTGACATCCACTTGATCTCGCCACCGCAAAGCTTTTGATCTTTACAGACGGATCGTTTGCAAACAACAAGGACCTATCCTCACAACTCGGTTACGTTATTGTCCTTGCTAACGAGACTGACCACAAAGAGAAAGAGTTCAGGATTAACGGTAATATTATCCACTGGAGTTCAACTAGATGCAAAAGGATAACTCGAAGCGTTTTGGCCTCAGAAATCTACGGAATGGTCAATGGATTCGACATTGGCATATCGGTATCAACGACTTTAAAGATGATCACTGACCGTCTCGGACTTCCTTCTATCCCTCTGATCGTCTGTACGGACTCGTACTCTCTCTACGAATGTCTTATCAAACTAGGCACAACGAAGGAGAAGCGATTGATGATCGACATTATGGCCCTTCGTCAGTCGTACGAGCAACGAGAGATCGCAGAGATTCGTTGGATCAACGGTGCAGACAATCCAGCTGATGCTATGACAAAGGCATCACCGAACCGAGCCCTGGAACGCCTCATCGATACCAACAGTCTGACAATTCGAATGGAAGGATACGTCCAACGCCCTTGATCACTTGTGACGCCAATGATTAAATCGTCATTGCAGTCAATTAGCCCGTCTTTCTTTCGTCCGTTCCCTAGGATCCCTATTGTGGGTAGTCCACACAACCGGACTTTGAACAGCCACAACGGCACAGTTATCATGACCTACACAACTAGGTCTTTCTTCTCGTTTGAACCTGGATGGATCATTGCTATGCTTCTCATAGCAAAAGAAAAGTTGCCAGTGTGGGAATTGTAGTAATCTATTGTACTCATCTAGCTAGCTCACGTGCGCTGTCACGTGTACGGATGAGGCCACATAGCTAGCATCGTGGCCTCCTCCCTCCCTTGAAGAGCAGAACATAGACGAATACAACACACCGGTTAACCCCACTGTCACACATAGGATATCAGCCTCCAACAGTCTGACCCCCTATTCGCACAGTCCGTTTCCACATTTCCCCACAGAAACTTCTAGGAGGCATCATCAACGCATCAGTGGCTTCCAGATGATCTGATCAGATGCTTCCATTCACTACCATTCCCTTCCATTCTCATATTCAGGCAGTCTATAAAGATCTCGCCTCTTTCCCACCTTAGATAGCAGAATCAAGAGTCTTCCAGTCCCTGATCTTTATGCCCACTTGCTCATCCTCCGTGCGATACCCACCCTTTGCATGCAAAGAGACCTGCCAACACATACATACATACATACATACATACCTACAATTCCGTCAATCAACTGAATATCAAATTGAATTGCCGGCTTATTCAGCAGACAGACGATTGCGTTGGTTGAGTTGCCGGTTGCTCAACTGAATTGAGCAACCGATTGCCAGGATTGAGTGGTTTGCCAACATGGTGTCGATGCGTTTCGAGCATCTTCCCACTCTCGCGGGAAAGCACCCACTTTAGTGGGTGAGCCAAAGCGAATCCCCTTAAAGTGTGGGCGGGCACGGGTACCATGCTCAATAAGCCATTTTCTCCAAGATTCAGGAAAAAGATGACGAGCAGCACCGCGTTTAAGACCAAGATTTTCAAGACATTCTGGAATAGCACCACCAATAGCAAGGGCAGAACCTCCTAATATGGTGGCTCCGGACCTCTTGGGCTGCTTTGCTGCGGGCTTGGCGGGCTTTTCTTCGGGCGCCTCTTGATTCTTGTTGGCCTGTTGGTTCTTGTTGGCCTCTTGGTTCTTGTTGTCCCCTTGGTTCTTGTTGGCTTCTTTGGCTGATTGATTTTCATCCATCTCCAGTTGCATCACACAGCTGGTTGAGCCACCACTTCTTTTGTAAATTCTACCCCAAAGCTCTCCGGTGTTTGTTGGTATAGTCTCGACGGATTTGAGCATAGGCGTGTCTCTGAATCCACTATACTGCGGTTCGTTCCAGCGTTCGGAACCCTTTCCGGTGAATCCGGTCTTCGGAAAGCCAGCAAGTTCCTCATGTGCACCGCCAGCGCGAAGACCTGCGTACTTCTTCTCGTTGTAAAGTTTGTTTTCCATTATCATCTTGCCTTGCCCGTCAACTTCGCCTACTATTTGGTCAACGGGAATCCCACCAAGCGCCGCCCATTCGTTCTCATGGCCCTTTCCCGCACCAAAACCGAGACTTTTGTTCATATCAACCATATTCGGCGTCGCCTTGATTTTGTACCGATGTATGCCGAAACTGCTTGCGGCTGTTATTGTACGTGCAGTCGAGACATAGTTTGTTTTTGCATAATTTTTACCCTCCTGATGTTTATATAGACTTAATCCTTCTTCAGAAAGTTTAAGACCGCCTGGAGGTAAAAATCCCTTTGCAGATTGTATATCCGCGAGAGAGCGACTGTCCCCTCGGTAGACAAACTCTGGAAGTGGCCGTTCCATGCCATAGACCCCAAGGCATTGGACGAGTAGCCAGCCACCCTGCCAGTATGAGAGGGAATGAGTGGCGGCGCGTTTTTGTTTTTGATCAAAATGTTGTCGGTAAGCAAAGTGTTAGGTATGCAAGTTCGTGAGTTGAAATCAAGTTTTGGATTGTAATACTGAGCAGTAGATATCGTAGAGCGATGTCCTTCCATGTGTGGTATTGCACCAAAAGTAGAACGCGCGCTCCAGCAAGTGGTGCGCAATTGACAGTTATGGCACTTAGTCTGTGTGACATGTGGTAGATTGGCGTCCTGATGTTCTTCTCTTTTATACCTAGTTGTCTGCGTTTCATCCTTCTCAATTTGTTAACTATTTACCGTATAGCAGTGCTCAAATCCGGCGCGAGAATTATGGAGACTGAAACCCACGATTCGAATCTGTTGAGGAGAGCGGAGCCCAGGGGCCGTCCCCGCGCTTGAACATCAAGCACGGGGGGGGGTTCGCTGCCAGGGAAAAAGATGGTACTTACCCCCCTGCGAGATTACTAGCCAATTGAAGCGGGAAATGTACTTGGCTTCCTCGCCTAAGTGTATGACTTCTCCACACGCCTAATTACCAGAATTTCTACATTTTTATTAACAAGTAATTTAGGGACCGCTTTTGTGTTGAGTACTTCCCTAGGAATCTGGTATGACTCGAGGATGTAGCCAATGAACGGAGCTCACGGTCTGCTTTCTCCATTTTTGTTGGATGGATAGCGGAAAGCGGTGGATTGTTAAGCGGTCCCTACTCCAAGGATAGTAAACAATCATGAGTCTTGTCCCTCCGCTGAGTAAAGTCGGACGAGGCTCAAACCTGACCTTGTCCCGGTCGTCTATGCACTTGCAGATGATCCGCTCAACTGAAACACCCGCCGCGTATGGTTTCTGCAATCGGAAGATCGGGCATGGCTACCGGCCCCTCAATGTTCATGTTTGTCATCCCAACTCACCCGTCAACGTGCAGACTGGCGATCCCAACTCAAATCCCGCCATTATCTTGACCTACTGTCGGCCATCCCAGACTCGCAAGTCTTGAACGCCGACTCGCGGCCGTGGCGTGAGTCAACCAGAACTTCGAGCTGTACGGACGGATCCTTGCCCGCCACTGTCATCCCGACTGAGCGACCGGCCCATCATCCCCAATACCCATTTGCGTTAATTGCTCTGCCAATTGCGCTAAGTGGTTATTGCCGCCGGTCACGCCGCACACGCCCTTCGCTGGTTCCAAGACTATGCCTTCACCCAGGGCTTTGCTCTCGTCACTGCCAGCAAGGTACGCGACCGTCTCCGAGTGAACTGCCTCCATCACGGTAGAGGCACGCGAAACACGCGAAAGCTGTCGAACACCGTCACAGAGGGAGGGGACCGAAAGAAGGAGCTCGCATACATCAAGGCCAAGGAGTGTCCTACAGTCTTTATGTCTCCTACAGAACTATCCGGAGCGGCCATGGAGGGTGGAGGAGCGAAAGGTTGGGTGGCCGGTTTCACCTTCGCGTACCATACGCATCCGCCACTTCAAAATCCCTTCCATTACGCCTGTCATAGATCCCGTATCCCAGATCGCGCTGCAGCAGTCGATCTGGCCCTCGTGTATCGGACTGCCGGCCTGTCAGCGACTGAATCAACCCGGATTCTCGACCAACACGGCTTAGGCAATTGTCTTTCCGCAAAGGAGTTCTACAACCTGAGTCGGTCTGAAGGAAGACGCAGCAGTCAAGAAGCGCTTGACCTCTTGCTTACTTGTTTGGAGTTCGAAGACTTCCGTGTTCGTTGCTTCTTCAAATACCTTCTCGACGACCAAGGACGACGAACAGCGAGGGTACTCGAGCACCTGTTCTTCTGTTCTTCCGAGCAGATCCGCCTGGGTAGAAGATTCGTCAGCGGATTCCTCATGCAAACCGATGCGACGTTCAACACCAATTGCCTCCACTTGCCTTTATCCGTCATAGTGGGAATCACAAACACAAGCAAGACATTTCCTCTGGCTTTCGCGTTTATAACCTCTGAATCAGCCGAGGCCTTCGAATTTGTGAATGCCCAATTAGCAGAATTGGTCTGGTACGATTGCCCACCGCCTCAAGTCGTTCTCGGGGGTCAAACCAAAGGGCTCGCTGCCGCAATGGCAGCGTCCCAAGCGAGGGCTGATCAGGATTCTGAGGGTGGGGATGGGCAAATCTTGCAGCTCTGTGAACAGTGCCTTGCCTTGAGGAACGAAAGGACTTCTTAGCGCGCGGGGAAAAAAGGCCCCAAACTGCTTCACCCCCACATCCTCCGCCTCTGATTGGCTGATTTGCCTTGAGGAACGAAAGGCTTCTTGCCTTGAGGAACGAAAGGACTTCTTAGCGCGTGCCTTGAGGAACGAAAGGACTTCTTAGTGCCTTTGAGGAACGAAAGGACTTCTTGCCTTGAGGAACGAGGAACGAGTGACGAAAGGTTCTTAGGGTTCCTCCCCGGGGAGAAAAATGCCTTGAGGAACGTTAGTGCCTTGAGGAACGAGGAACGAGTGACGAAAGGTGCCTTGAGGAACGAAAGGACTTGCCTTGAGGAAAGGAACGAAAGGACTTCATTAGCGCGCGGGGAAAAAAGGCCCCAGACTGCTTCACCCCCACATCCTCCGCCTCTGATTGGCTGATTTATTTCCTCTTTCGGAATGCCTTGAGGAACGAAAGGACTTCATTAGCGCGCGGGGAAAAAAGGCCCCAGACTGCTTCACCCCCACATCCTCCGCCTCTGATTGGCTGATTTATGCCTTGAGGAACGAAAAGGCTCTTCTGGACGCGAAAAAAACCCCAAAAACCCCCAAACCTACTTTACCCTCGAAACCCTTGGCTTCTGATTGGAGAACCCATCTTGGCTGCTGATTGGAGAGCTTTTAAATCCCGGCTTCCCCCCCTCTCCCGCACCCCTGACACGAGCATGGTGCCGTCCAGCGCCCTGCGCCCGGCATCGCGATAGCTACACGTCCAGGCCCGTGCCTTTAGAGTCCAGGAATCAACGTCTAGCCATCCCGAGGCCTCGCGGACAGTCTTGTCGCTCAGCTGGCCCAGCCTCGCTTCTGCGTCTGTCATCTCGTCTGGCACCTTGTTGCCCACCAGGTCCCTCTCCCGCAATTTCGAGACCAGCATAATGCCGTCCAGCGTCGGGCAGCGAGACAGCTGCACGTACAGGCTGTACGGGTCGCACTGCGAGGACACGGCGCGTCCGTCGATGTTTGACGTCCGCGTTCCCCGCAGCTCCAGAGCTACACGCTCGAGCGTCCTGCCCTGCACTTTATAGTCTGTGCACGCGAAGGCTGCCGTACAGGGCAGGCCCTTTCGGCTGACGTCGTTCTGCTGCCACGGCCTCTTTCGCTGGCACTGTATTTTGACCGTCATGGGCGTCAACAGGACCGTGCCTGGCGGCATCCCGACGAAGTGAACGTCGTTCGTCGTCTCCGACTCCAGCATTATCCCCGCCGGCGGCCGAAATGGACCGTCGTGTCTGCCGTGATACGATGCCCCGGGTACGACTTGTCGAGGACGACCTCCAGCGCCGTGTAGCCGGCGCCGTTCACCAGCTTTAGCCCCTGATGGGTGTTATGGTTCACGACGACCGGCATCCCCGGCACGAACATGAAGACGGCCGGCACCGGGATCGCGCTGTCGTCGCCCTGGTTCAGCATCATGATGGCCTCTTCCTCCGTCGGCAGGGCCTCCTTCCACGTATGATCCGAGATGAAGATGCGCATCACTGACCGCTGCTGGGCCCGGAACGCCAAGCTGGCCTCCATGTTGAGGTTCCACCGGTTCCTGTTCAGCGGCGTCACCACGGTGATGCACGTCTCCCACGGGATCCGCCTGCCTTCCCGGTAGCATCTTGAGTTGAGGAGGTCCAGATCCGAGCGGTCCTGCACGCCCAGTCGAATCCGCCTTAGCAGCCTCTGCAATTCCGGATCTCCGCGGCGCGCACCTGCTCGTCCAGCATGACCGTGGTCGTGAATCTCTTCCACAACGCGTGCGCCTTGTCGTGCTGGTGCCGTGTCTCGGCCTTGAAGGAGCTGTCTACGTCCCACGAGACGGCGGTGCTGGGGAGGAGGATCGAGCGTTCTTGGACGGGGCGGAATTGGTGGAAGTCTCCGCAGAAGAGGACGATCGGAATACCTCCAAAATCCTGGTGCGACCCGCGCAGCCGGCAGAGCTGCTCGTTCACCGCGTGTAGCGTCCGCGCCCCGAGCATGCTCACCTCGTCGATGACGAGCACGTCCTTCTCCTGCCAGTCCATCCGGGATTGCCCGTCGACGAACCGCTCCGCCTGTTTCGGCAGTCGCACCCCGTCGAGATCCTTGGCCGCGTTTGCGGCTGCCGCGAGATCTTTCGAGAACCCGCAGGCGGAGTGGATCGTAATGCCGTTGATCCGCGCTGCTGCCGTCCCCGACGTCGCCGTTATCATCAGACGATTCGATTGATCCTTGGACGCGAAGAGCTCGACGAGCGCCTCGATGACTCGTGACTTGCCCGTTCCGCCTCTCCACCGACGAACTGGCACAGCTGGCGTACGTTGCTTTTCTCCCCGCGCCGTATCAGGTCAAGCTGGCGGCATATAATTAGGAAGGCGATCGCCTGCTTCTTGTTTAGCGTGAGCCGCGCTGCCAGGGCCTTGCCCGCCTCGAGGAAGGAGGTTGAGGCACCGAACCGGATCTCCATTCCCGCGCTGGCCCCGCTACTCCTTCCTCGAGCTCCGCTGCCGTCATCTGGACGTCGTCATCCCCGAAACCCGTGAGCACGCCCCGCACCGCCGCGCGGCGACCAGTCACCGGTGCCGTGGACAGGCTTTGTATGCCCCGTATCATCTTCTCCCTCTCCTGGATGCGCGGATTTGCTGCGACTTTATGGCCCTAACCTCACTTTGCGGCGGTATGGTGGCTCCGGAGAATGCCCGCCCGGGATGTTGATTCGTCTTGGGCCCCGTTCGGGTAGTATTGTGGCCTGGACCTCGGAAGAAGAGGACAGCGCCGATTGCTGAAATCGGCTGAGCTCCTGCATCATCGCCGTGAGCTCCGGCGAGCCGGCCGTGATTTGGTTCGGCCCGATCGAGCTTCTGACAACGTCGATTAGGCGATTCGTGCTTCCCGCACTGTCGGCCTGGTATCCCGATCCGGGCTCGACACCCACCTCCCCGGTGCCGTCCTCGTCCGGACGTACTGCCGTGGGGTCGCCGTCACCGGACGAGGCCGCCCACTGCCGTGCGTCCCGCTTTGCATCTTCGGCCGACCGTCGCAGCAACTGCACGTTATCGACGAAACATGATATCCTCGGGGCCAGGGCTGCTCGTTGCCGCCCCCATATGCAGTTGATGTCGCCCCTTTCTTCGTCTAAGAAAGACTCCCACGGCACGAACAGCGCAAGATGCTGCACAGCCGCTCTTCGCCATGGAAATTAGCCTTCTCGACCCGGCGCCTCCGGCCCGTCGACGACAAACGCACCTTCGGTAGCACGACCCTTCGTCGTCTTCGTCGAAATCCTTGCTCAAATACCCGTCGAGGCAGACCGTGGCCTGCTTGCCCGGTCGCCTGAGCACCTGCGCCCAACGGCCTCCCGGAGCCCAGCCGCTCTCGAACGGGACCTCCCCAGCCGGCGGGCCTCGTCCCTTTCGTTGCGCTTCAGCCTGACCAGCGAAACGTAGTCGTAGAGACACAGCCCTCGAAGGACGTCTCCCCGATGACGGTATGCCTCGACACGGCAAATCCTCTGGCCTGCTTCTTCGACGAGTATTGACTCGTCCACAGAGCCATCTGCAACGGCTGCGCCGCTTTCTCGTCGAAGGTGCGGCCATTGTCGGAAGACTTGCCAGTAGAGCAACGATACGTTCAGGAACGCCCAAGCACTGCCATTCGTCAGTTCAGTCGCGCATCCCAGGAGGTCCGCGACGACCTCGACCTGCGATAACGGCCTCTCCGTAAACACGCGATTCGCCACCTTCATCAGGAACTGCCGTGTCTTATTCTGCCTGCCATCGTCACCGGCACCACTGTCTCCACGAACCTCCGCGCCGTCGGCCATTCCGTCACCTGCCCTGGGAGGCAAGAGATCCGCGGCGGCGGCGACGCGCTTCCATACAGGGTCCTCCACCTTGGTCGCATAGTTTGTGACGTAAAGATGAGGGCCATCGTCTTACGCTGTGTGGCGATGAAAGATATGTCATGGTTGTGGCGAAGCCCCACGGCAATGGCCTTGTTCCACCGATTCACCATGCTGTGCGACCTCCGAATCCGCAGCACGCCGTCTCCCGTGAAGGCCGTCTCGTCGACCAGTCCCCACGGCGCCTTGAAACGACATAAATCGCCCTTGCGCCCCCCTTTGCCCAGCGAGTACTTGACGCAGGTCGGGCTGTGGGTATGGATCTGCGTCGCGCCGGCACAGAAGTTCGCTTCCTCGTCGAACGAGGCTGAAAATTGCCGTTCGTCGCCCAGAAATTGCGATATATCTGACGTCACCGATCGCTCGGCCTGCATTGCGCAGAAGCCTTCCTGGTCCAGATCCTGTCTTGTTCGTCAGCTTTCTCGGCTTTGACAGACGGAGGACGCAGGTCAACACGACGGCCCCGCTCATACCTCGGAAAAGACACTGTCGACGTATCTGACGATGCGTTCTCGGTATGCCGCTTGATCCTCGCCGTCGATATCGGCAAGCATCGAGCTTAGATGCACGTTGCCCTGCAGCCAGAGCAGTCCGTGAACATGGAGCGCTCCACGCTCGTTGGTCTCGACGGCACCGTAATAGTGGCTGATGCGCCCGAACACCGACTCCTCGCCCACTCTCACGTAATGTTCGAAGAACAACGTCATTTCTCGGTGGAAGAATTCGGCCGAGCTTAACGGGTCCGAGATGGCCAGCCGCGCACGTTTGAACGCCTTGTCGAGGCCTTGCAGGAATGCCTCGGCCGCTGCGGGATCACGTGTGCGGTATGCCGCCAGTCTCAGCTTCACCGGGTTCGTGATGTCGTTCGGGTTGAGCGTGAACCAGATTGCAGGCACGCCACGACATAAGATGAGTGACTGGATCTTGCGCCGCATGCTCAGACGGAGCTCCCTCGACATGGGCTGCCGATAGCCGTACAGCGAAAGGCATCTTAGAAGCTCCTTGACGCCATCGTCGGTAGTCTTGCCCGACGTCTCCAGCTCCGCCCTGGCGGCCGCTAACCTATCCGCTGTCAGCGACCGTACGATGCGCTCCACCTCGGCGAAGTTCTTCCGCGTCGCGCTGAGCATGCTGACCCGACGATTCTTCGACCGCACATCCATATTGAAAACGAGAAACGAGAAGATGGTATGCGTCGCGAATCGGCCACCATGGCGCCGCAGCACAATGCCGGCCCAGGTCCGAAGGCTTATGTTCCGAGACGACAGAAGATCTCGCGCCGCCGTCTCTTCTCCAGCAGCCGTACCCGCCAATTGACCGGCCCTCGGGTCCTAAGATGACTTCCTCCGCGAGCCGTGGTCCTCCAAATCCGAACGGCAGTAGGGTGGGAAAGGTCTTGGCGAAGAACGAGGCGTCGAGCGAGTCGGCGAATTCGTCTCCGCGACAAACGTGGATGTATGGCTCGCGGACATCCGTGCCTTCTTGACCCGCCTCCGCCGACCTTATCCATGCCCTCGGCCCTTGCGGTCGTTCTCGGCCCCATCGCCACCCACGGCATTGCACGCAAAGCGGAGCTTCTCTGCGTCCGACACTTCCGGCGGTCCGTCCAATGCAAACATGCCGGAAGAGGTGATCTCGTTGATCGTTTTGGCTCTGTCATCGGGCTCAGCATCGTCAGTCCCGTCCGCTCCACTCCTCGGATTCTCGACTCCCCTGTCCAATACGTCTTGTCCTTGGAGGAGCTGGGCGAGGACTCCTTCGATCTCCGCCGGACTATCGTCGTCCATGGCCCGCTCTGCGGGCGGCACGACCTGCGCCGTTCGCGTCTTCTCCCACGCAGACGGCTCGTTCCGCTCCATGCGGTCGTAGACCACCCGCGGCACACCGTGTGATGGTGTTCCCCAGCTATCCATTTCCGCCCTATCAATCTCAATATCGGCGTAATGGGGGTTATTCTTCTTCAACCAGATAAGCGCTCTCTCGACGACTTGACGCCTCACCGACAAGAGACCCGATAAGTCGCACGGTGCTGGCTTCTCCGCGCCCTGCCACGAGACGTGGATCTCGTCCAGTGCTTGCAAAAGGGGGTGCGGGAGCACCTTGGTCGCCAGCTCCTGCACATTGTTCGGAAACACCGTGATGTGGCCCTTGACATGTCTCGGATACCTCACTGCCTGCGTCTGCCCGCCCGGAATGTTATACCTCGTCACAAAGCCGTAACACGAGTTCAACGAGATGAGCTTCTCTTCGACCGGCGTCAGCCCCTTCAGCTCGTCGGGGAACATGTGCTCGCATCCGAGGCGACTGTGAAGGTGGACCGCCGACGACAGGCTCCCGCGCCCCAAGCATCGGGCACACTCCACACAAACCGAGACGGGCTCACCCCCGGGAAAGCAGCTTCGGCACGCAAATGGTGAGCGCTCACCCCGAGGAACGGGACTTGATAGCCACTGATCCCACGGAATCTCCTCAACTCCTTCCTTGTACGCTTGCGGTAACACAGCCTGCAGGTCATTATCGGCAAGGTGCTCACATCGTGGAACGCCCGATAAAACTTTCGCACCGTCGATACCTTCCTCTCATGCGGTATTGGTGTGCACCAGGTTTGCTCCTTAGACAGCCTTTCCTTCGCGACGAATTCCCCTTCGAGGTAAAGCAAGACACTGGCCAAATCCTCTGCCTGCAGCTCACTCCTCCTCTGCCTCGGATGGCTTCCTCGAGTACGTTTCGTCGGGGTCTGGTCTCGGTCACGCTGGCGGTTCCTCTTTCTCTGTTCTACGGCCTGCGAGGATCTTTCCGCTGCCTCGTCTCGCCACGGCCGATCTTGTTCTCCCGCCGCCGCCTGGCGTGATGGCCGTGGTGGCAACCATCCGGATGACTGCGTATCTCCTGCCCTGCCTTGCATCTCTGGGTTGGGTTGGCTGAACGAGGGCTCCTGACGACTCCAGACGACATCGTGACAGCGGTTGCCGGCCAATCCTGTCCCGCCTGGCATCCGGATGACTGTATATCTCCCGCTCTATCTTCTATTGCTCTAGGTTGGATTGGCCGAATGAGGCGCTCCTGATGGCTGTAGACGAAATCCCGACACTGTTTGCCGGCCGACCCTGTCCTTTCTGGCGTGATGGCGGCGGTGGCCACCGTCCGGATGACTGCGTATCTCCTGCGCCATCATCCATCTCTTGAGGTCGGATTGGCCGAACCAGAAGCTCCTGACGACTCTAGGCGAGTTCCCGACAGGGCTTGCCGGCCGATCCTGTCCTCCTGGGCGGCAGGTGTCCTCGGAGCCCATTGGCCCTGTCCGCGCACCACGGCTTCGCCTTCCAGACGTGCCCCTCTGGACGCCCTCCACGAGCCCTCCCTTCGAGGAGGAACTATCGACGTTAGTCGTCCTTTTCCGCGGCCAGCCGCCTCGCCGACTTCCCTTGGGCAACGCTCTTTTGAGTGCCTCTGCCTGCTCTCTTCGTGAGGCATCGTCGGCCGCCGCGGCCGGCTTGGCCTCAATAGGCCGGAACCTGGGTGCCGCGTTTTTGACTTTTGTGGCCCGGCGCCCGCTTCGGCCCTTCGTCCATTGCGATCGGTCTCGCCGCCGCGATACTCCTCGTCGCAGCAGCGGCCGCTGCTGCTGTCCCCGTTCGCACTCTCCTGCCACCGATCTTACCTCGCGGCTACGATTCTCCCCATGCTGGTGCTGTCTTATCGGCAAGGCTCCGCAAACGAACGATAGATTAGGAAGCCTTCGCCCGGGATATACCCGAGATTGTCTCGCTTCCTGGCAATGGCGTTCCGCCGCGTTGGCATTCTTCTTGCTAACGGTTATATCCTTCCTTGTTAATATCCCCTTTCTGCATTAGACCTCTCTCTCTCGGACCTGCCGGGCTTCCTTTGTACCTATCGACAGGCCTATCTGCCGACAGCCCTAGTTTTCGCCATCCTATGCCGGTAGCCCTGCCGGACACTTTAATCCGCGTCGCCCTTGCTGCCCGATCAGTACCCAGCTCCGCAACACCACGACGCATCTCTTTGACGTCTGCTTACTTACAGCGGCAAGGCTCCTCGCTCTTCCCGGCGAATCCATACCACTATTGATCTACTATAAGTGCGTCTACGCTCGACTTCTTCCCTACTCCTTTCTTGGCGCTGAGAACCCGTCCTTTTGCGTGCAAGTGGCCTATCGACCTGCGCAGATGCACTATGTCTCTCTACTTCGTACCGATATGCCCGCACCGCACCTTCGAAAGCCGCTCGATAGCCAAAGGGGCGCTGGCGGTGAGATGTCTATGATGTCTTTTGTCCAGCCGGACTGTCCTGCTAGATTTTCCCACCAGGACGACCACCGCATCAGGGGTCTTAACGCCGAGGCCATGGCCCGCGTCTTCCTGCCTCCTCCCGCCTGGCTGCTCGCGACGGAATATGCGCCCCTCCGATCGGATGCCGATGATTCCCGACATCCGTCTTTTTAGCCTCAACCTCTCCATCTACGGCCAGCCTATTGATCCCTCCGACTGGACCGAAGAGTGGTTTTCATGCATGCCCGCGTCCACCCCTACGCGCTCGCATGGGAGGTTGAGCAACGCGACGGCCTCGAGTCTGACACGGGCCGCACCTTTCTATACGATGCCCGCCCTTGTCGTCCGCGATCAGGGCTACCAGCCGTAAGCCGTGCCCTGACCCTTCGCGAGTGCCGACGAAACGGTATATGGCTAAGATGGGCTTGAAGTGTTCTCCCTAGGCTCTTTGCCTCCATGGGCGACTTCCCCTGCATCCCGCCTATTGTTTCCTTTACCGGCCTTATCGTCGGCACCGGCCACTCCTCGCTGCGGCGGGACCTACTGCCCGGTCTAGGCGCCGCCCAACTTAACTGTTGCGGATTTGTCCGCCTTTCTACCTATGTCGCTCCTGGGATGCCTAATAAGGTCCCCTTCAAGGGCTTCCACCCGTTCCAGGTCTTCGTTATCTTCCCTGTTCGCGCTAACCCCTGGGCCATCTTGTGTAGGAAGATGGCCGAGAGGCAGGACTCTCAATTTCAGCCTAACGTCCCTTTACCTGCACAGGCAAGGTCGCTGGCCTGCTCCGTCATGATGTCATGCTCTACCCCCCGGGCTCGGACCGGGACAACGTCTTTATCGTCGTCCCGGATTCCTGGACTTTTCTCGACAAGGCCGCCGCCGCCGTCACCACGATGGCACCGCTTCTCTCTACGCCACAGAGGCAACAAGCTTCCTCCGCTTCCGCGGCCTTCCGGGACGTGCGCGCTGCCTCTTTGTCTTTGATCACCCCTGGCACCCTCCCGCTCAGTCCTCCACCCTTGGCTTCGGCTTCGCCTCGACCGGCCACCTTACGCCGCCCGGGAAACGATATTGCCCTGAGCCTGCCGATACGCCGACGAAGCGACCGTGTCTGCTGCATAAGGCCCCGGTGATCTCGTCTTCCCTAAGCCCGCCTCCTCTGCTACCCACTCGTTCTCTGTTTCGGCTGCCTCCGCCGCTCATGAGCCGGACAACCTAAGCCGGGTCCTGACTTACGGGACTCTTCCTCGATTCCATTGTCGCCCATGGCTTGGCTCGCCGGCCCGTCCGCTTCGAAACCGCCACCTATCTAAGAAAGCTACGGAAATGGAATAGCGTACGCTGCTATAACTCCTTAAATGGGAAGTGTTTTTCGTCCAGCCTGGCTGCCCCTTGGTCGTCGTTACCTTTCTGCCTCTGTACATCTGTCTGCCCCTTGTCTAGACGTTTTTCGTTCCTCAAGGCTCTTTGCGCAACCCTGTTGCTCTCCTTCCTCTTTCGGAATAAAAGATCCCGTGTGATTGGTCGCCGACCCTTCCGTCCCTCCTCATCATTGGTCGCTGCCGCCTTCTCTTGCCCCTCTCATGCCTTGCCCTGTTTCCCCGTTTATACTCCTGTTTACCCCTTGCCAATGCCAATGCCAACCTTTTTCCTTTCGTCCGCCGGTTTTCTTATTGTGTCTAAAACTTGCGTCTTTTGTCTTTGCCCTTTCGTTCATGCCTTTCTAGCGGGTTCTTCCTTCAAGTCTAAAAGTCGCCCTCGTTGATCGCTGCTGCCCAGTGCCCTTGTCTTCTTGCCCGCCGGCGCGCTCCTCCGTCTTCTCCCCCTCGTCACCTCACCCTGACAACTCTCCTTGACTCTTCAGCGTCGCCATCCGACCGACGCAAAGCTTCCTCGACAGTCCTCTCGCTTAGCACCTCCAGCCTGGCCTGCGCGGCGGTCATCTCTTCGGGGACTCGGTTGCCCACCAAGTCTCTCTCCCGCACCTTGGACACGAGCGTGATGCCGTCTAGCGTTCGACAGCGCGATAGCTGCACATATAAGCTGTACGGGTCGCATTGCGAGGCACGGCCCTTCCATCGACTTTCGTCGTCCGTGTCCCCGCAGCTCCAGGGCCACGCGCTCTGGCGTTCTGCCCTGCACCTTGTAGTCCGTGCAGGCGAAGGCTGCTGCGCACGGCAATCCCTTCCGGCTGACGTCGTTCTGCTGCCACGGCCGCTTTCGTTGGCAGTGTATCCTGACGCTCATCGGCGTTAACAAGATCGTGCCCGGCGGCATCCCGACGAAGTGGAGGTCCTTTGTCGTCGCCGATTCCAGTAATATCCCGCCGGCGGCCCGAAGTGGATCGTCATGTCGGACGAGATTCGATGCCCTGGGGACGCCTTGTCGACAATGACCTCCACCGCCGAGTAGCCGGCGCCGTTCACCAGCTTCAGCCCCTGATGGGTGTTGTGGTTCACGACGACCGGCATCCCGGCCACGAACATGAAGACGGCCGGCACGGGGATCGCGCTATCGTCGCCTTGATTGAGTACCATGATCGCTTCTTCCTCGGTCGGCAGGCCCTCCTTCCACTTGTGCTCGGAGATGAAGATGCGCATCGTCGACCGCTGCTGGACCCGGAACGCCAAGCTTGCCTCCATGTTTAGGTTCCACCGATTCCTGTTCAGCGGCGTCACCACGGTGATGCCAGTCTCCCAAGGATCCGCCTGCCCTCGCGGTAGCACCTGAGTTGAGGAGGTCCAGATCCGTGCGGTCCTGCACACCCTGCCGGATCCGCTTCAGCAGCCCCTGCAATTCCGGATCACCGGCGGCGCGCATTTGCTCGTTCAACATGACGACCGTCGTGAATCTCTTCCACAGCGCGTGCGCTTTGTCGTGCTGGTGCCGCTGCTCGGCCTTGAACGAGTTGTCTACGTCCCACGAGATGGCCGCGCTCGGCAGGACGATCGACCTCTCTTGGACCGGCCGGAACTGCTGAAAGTCTCCGCAGAAGAGGACGATGGGGATCCCCGAAATCTTTCTGCGATCCGCGAAGCCGACAGAGTCGCTCGTTTATGGCGTGCAGCGTCCGCGCTCCGAGCATGCTCACCTCGTCGATGACAAGCACGTCCTTCTCCTGCCAGTCCATCCGAGACTGGCCGTGGATGAACCGCTCCGCCCGTTTTGTCAGCCGCACCCCGTCAAGGTCCTTGGCTGTGTTCGCGCCGCCCGCCCTTGGTCTTTAGTGAACCCGCAGGCGGGTGGATCGTGATGCCGTTGATCTGCGCCGCGGCAGTCCCTGAAGTCGCCGTGATCAGCAGACGATTCGAAAGGCTCTTCCCACTGAACAGCTCGACGAGTGCCCCAATGATCCGCGACTTGCCGGTGCCCCCTCGCCGCCGACGAACTGGCAGAGCTGGCCGGCATCGCCCTATTCGTTTGTCGCATCAAATCGAGCTGGCGGCATATTATTAGGAAAGCGATCGACTGCCTCTTGTTCAGCGTTAGCCGTGTTGACAACTCCTTGCCCGCCGCGAAGAAGGAGGTCGATGGGCCAAGCTGGACGCGCATTCCCGCTTCTGCGTCGCTAGCCGTCTCGTCGGAGTCGGCTGTCGTCATTTCGACGTCGTCCTCCCGAAGCCGGTCATCACCCTCCGCAACGCAGCTCGGCGATCGCTTTCCCGGACTGCGACTGTGGTTTGTACGCCTTGGATCATTCTCTCCCTTTCCTCGACGCACTTATCTGCTGCGACTTGATAGCCTTGACCTGATCCTGCGGCGGTAGTGCGGCCCCGGAAAATACCCGCCCTGGCATGCTTATGCACCTCAACCCTTGTTCGGGAATCGCGATGGCCTCGAGCTCGGCCGTTGAGCAGAGCGCCGATTGCTGGAATCGACAGAGCTGCCGCATCATTGCCATGAGCTCCGGCGACTTGGCCGTCACCTGATTCGTGCCCACTGCGCCTCGGACGACGTCGATCAGGCGCGTTGCGTCTCCGATGTTGTTGGACCGATACGTCGCTGCAAATTCTGCGCCCGCCTCGCCTGTCTCGCCCTCCTCGACGTGGGCGACCGTGGAATCGCCATCGCCGGATGAGGCCGCCCATTGCTTGGCGTCGCGCTTTGCGTCTTCGGCTGATCGTCGAAGCAGCTGCACGTTGTCGACGAGACATGATATTCTCGGGGCCAGCGCCTCTCGCGCCCGCTCCCAGATGCTATTGATCTCACCTGTTTCTTCGCACAGAAAGGACTCCCACGGCACAAATAGCGCAAGATGCTGCACGGCTGCCCTTTAAGGGGAGGGGAGGTTAGCCACTCTGATGATGCCTGCCGGCAGGGCGGTTGCTATACACACCTCCGGTGGCACGACTCCTCGTCGTCGTTGTGGCCGAAGTCCTTGCTCAGGTAGCCATCGAGGCAGACGGTAGCATGCTTGCCCGGCCGCCTGAGCACCTGGACCCAGCGTCGTCCCGGCGCCCATCCATCCTCGAAGGGCACCTCCCCAGGCCGCACAGCTCTCATCCTTACTGGTGCGTTTTAGTCTAACGACCGATATGTAGTCGTATAAGCATAGCCCTCGCAGGAGCTCTCCCGGTGCTGGTACGCCTCAACGTGGGAGATCCTCAGGCCTGCTTCTTCGACAACGACCGACTCATCCAGAGTATCATCTATGGCCGCCGCGCCACTTGCTCGTCGGAGATACGGCCACCGTCGAAAGACTTCCCAGTACAGCAGAGATGTGTTCAGGTACGCCCAGGCGCTGCTGTTGGTGAACTCGGCCGGATATCCAAGAAGATGAGCGACGACCTCGACCTGAGATAGCGGACGCTCCGTGAACACACGATTCGCCACCCTCATCAAGAACTGTCGCGTCCTGTTCCCCTTGGCGGCGTCATCGCCAACAGCACCTCCACCGTCGTCCTGTCCTCCGTTGGCCGTGCCGTCACCCGTTGAGGCGGCCAGGAGATCGGCCGCGGCCGCCACACGCTTCCACACCGGGTCCTCCACCTTCGTCGCGTAGTTCGTGACATAATACATAAGGGCCATGGTCTTGCGCTGCGTCGCAATGAAGGAAATGTCGTGGTTGTGCCGGAGCCCAACAGCGATAGCCTTGTTCCATCGATTGACCATGCTGTGAGTCCTCCGGATCTGCAACACCCCGTCTGCCGTGATGGCGGTCTTGTCGACCAACCTCCATGGAGACTTAAACCGGCATAGATTCCTTTCCGCGCTCCTTTGCCCAGGAATACTTGACACAGGTCGGGCTATGCGTGTGAACCTGTGTAGCGCCGGCACAGAAGTTGGCCTCCTCGTCAAATGCGGCCGAAAACTGCTCGGTGTTGTCCAGCAGGGAGGAAATATCGGACGTCACAGATCGCTCCGCTTGCACGGCGCAGAACCCTTCCTGATCCAGATCCTATCTTGCACGTCAGCCTGGCCCCGTTTGTCCATCGGACGAGCAATTCAGGTTCTCAGTGACACGTCTTAGCTATTCTTACCTCGGAGAAGACACTATCGACGTATCGTATGATTCGCTCGCGATACGCCGCCTGATCCTCCCCGTGGATGTCGGCAAGCATCGAGCTGAGATGCGCGTTTCCGTGCAACCAGAGCAAGCCGTGAACATGAAGCGCCCTCGTTCGTTGGTCTCCACAGCGCCATAGTACTTGCCGATGCGCCCGAATACCGACTCTTCTCCGACCTTCACGTAATGATCGAAGAACAGCTTCATCTCCCGGTGGAAGAATACGGCGGCGCTCATCGGATCGGACATGGCCAGCCTTGTCCGCTTGTACGCACTCCCAAGGCCTTCTAGGAACTCCTCGGCCGCGCCGGGATCGCGTGTCCGATATGCCGCCAGTCGCAGCTTCACCGGGTTCGTAATGTCGTTTGGGTTGATGGTGAACCAGATGGCCGGAACGCCGTAGCCAACGATGAGCGACTGGATTTTCCGCCGCATATTGAGCCGAACCACGAGAGGCTCCTGAGAAGCTCCTTCACGCCCTCATCGGTCGTCTTGCCCGAGCTCTCCAACTCGACCCTCGCCGCCGCTAACCTTTGCGCGGTCATCGAGCGGGCAACGCGCTCGACCTTGCCGAAGTCCTTCCTCGCCACACTCAGCATGCTGACGCGGCGGTTCCTCGACCGCACCCCCATGTTGAAGACGAGAAATGCAAATATGTGGTGCAACGCAAACCGGCCACCATGGCGCCGGAGCACGATGTCGGCCCAAATCCGGAGGTTCAAGCTTCGGGAGGATACGATGTCTCCCGCTGCCGCCCCTGCCTCAGCAGCTCTACCGGTGCCTCGCAAGTTGGTAAGGGCCTTCCCATCGTCGCCACGCCCTCGACCCCACCGAGGATCCGACCCACGTTCTCGGGCCCGCGCGGCCGTCGTCGGCACCTGCGCCAACAGCGTCACAGGCAAACCGCAGCTTCTCGACATCCGCCACGTCTGGCGGTCCGTCCAGCCCAAACATGCCGGAAGACGTCACCTCGTTGATTGGTCGAACGTTCTGATCGGGGCTAGCACCAACTCCATCACGACCCGCGCCTTCTTCGTTGGGCCCGTGCCCTTCAGCCTCGCCTCCCGTTTCCTGCCTTTGGTTGAGCAGAGCGAAGAGTTCCTCGATCTCCACCGACCCCTCGTCGTCCATGGCGCGCTCCGTGGGCGGCACAACGTGCGCCGTCCGCGTTTTCTCCCATGCGGACGGCTCGTTCCGCTCCATGCGATCATACACCAAGGCCGGCACCCCGTCTATCGGGTCTCCCCAACTCTCCATCTCCGCCACGTCGATCTCGATCTCGGCGTAGTGGGGGGTTGCTCCTCTTCAGCCAAACAAGAGCCCTCTCGACGACCCGCCGCCTCACCGACAAGAGACTCGACAGGTCGCTCGGTGCCGGCTTCTCCACGCCCTGCCACGAAACGTGGATCTCGTCCAGTGCTTGCAAAAGGGGGTGCGGGAGCACCTTGGTCGCCAGCTCCTGCACGTTGTTGGGAAACACTGTGATGTGGCCCTTGACGTGCCTCGGATACCTCACGGCCTGCCTCTGCCCGCCCGGAATGCTATATCTCGTGACAAACCCATAGCAGGAGTTGAGCGAGACGAGCTTCTCTTCGACCAGCGTGAGTCCCTTGAGCTCGTCAGGGAACATGTGCTCACAGCCAAGGCGAGTGTGAAGATGGACCGCCGGCGACAGACTCCCGCGCGCCAGGCATCGGGCACACTCCGCACACACCGACACGGGCTCGCCTTCGGGAAAGCAGCTCCGGCATGAAAATGGTGAGCGGCCGCCCTCTGGCACGCAGCTTGACAGCCATTGATCCCATCTGATCTCCTCAGCTCTTTTCTCGTACGCTTGCGGTAGCACATCATGCAGGTCCGTATCGGCAACGTGCTCGCATCGTGGAACGCCTGATAAAAATCCCGCACCGTCGACACCTTCCTGTCGTGCGGTATTGGCGTACACCACGTCTGATCGTTAGACAGCCTCTCCTTCATGGCGAAGTCTTCCTCCAAAAAACGCAGCACACTCGCCAGGTCTTCGGCCCGCAGCTCCCGACTCCTCTGCCTTCCGATTCCACTCCGAATCTGTTTTCTCGGGCGCTCGTCCGGACCAGGAAGACGTTTTCTTCTCCCGCCTCCGGGCCGCCTCCGGGGCCGCCTCCGATCCATGATTTCTTCTCTCCGTGGCTGATTCGCTTCTTCGCAAGCCGTCGGATGCGGCAGCTTTGGCGACGACTGCCCGACTACGTGCGCATCCCCTGACACGCCATCCGGCCCTTTGCACTGGACAGGCACCGGGCCGTGCTGGCGAACGTTTTCCACGCCGAACCTTGACCTCAGTCCTTGCCCTTTCCAGCACTCTCCTCGTTCTTGCTGCCGATCAAACTGCACGGGCTCCCCAGCCGCCACCCGCGATGAGCCGCCCACCTCCCTTTGCTGCAGCCTCCGCCCGCTCAGCGAAGCGTCCGCTGGCTCTGCCGCGGCGTCGCCCACCCCCACAGGAGACGGCCCCGGATGCTGCGCCGTACCTGCTGCGTTGGAGACACCCCTGCGGCCTGGTACTCCTTTACCCGCCAACTCCGTCCCCGACGGCGCTTGGCAAACCAGACGCAATCGCTGCTGCTAATTGCCCGTTTTCTCTTAAGTTGTCGAATACCGGTTCCCTAGGCTGGATGGATCGAAGCTTCGGTACCTCCTTCGAATGAACACTCGGGACATCGCCCGCCGCCGCCGTAACACGTTGCTCCTCATCTTCAGGATCTCCTCCTGAGGCAGAAAGTGCCGATGAGGAGCGGACGATCAGAGTCCGCTACCCCATATCTCCACGTTCCCTAGGCAACAGGGGCCTCGGAAGCTGACCCGGTGACTGATGTTGCGCGGAACTTCCGCTGCTAACCATATTATGGAACTTCCGTGCTCTGTTTGACCGCAAACCGCCTCGCGGCGGTCTTCTCGGCAACGACCTCGCAATTGCTTCTGCGTGCTGTCTCCATGCGGTGTCTTCAACCACAGGTTTCCTAGGCTGAATCGGCCGGAACGTTGATGCCGCATTCGCCCGTGATTCGTATCTTCGTAACCGTCCCAGGCTCTCCCCGTGCTCTGCGGCCCTCTCAGAAGCTGCCACCACATCTACACCGGCTCCTGTCGCACCATCTCCGAGCCCCGAACCCGACCCGCTCACGTTCTCACCCTCTTCTCCATCCCCGACTGACAACGAACAGGCTTCAGGGTGAGCAACCGCCTCGCTTAACTTCACTGCAGGACTGTCCGCCATGCTGCTGCCTCCTCGACGTCGACTGCCGTAAATTGGCAACAGGCTATAAAGCTTTGGCTCCGGAGCACCTCCACTTGGACAGTCTCGCTTGTTGACGACGCTACTTCTCCCGAATGGGAAGCTCCTAGCCATCACTTCCTCATGGCCGTGGCGTTTCTTCCTTATAGCTTCCTATAAAATGCTTCCCTATGGTACCGAGGCGATGCAATACTACCCTCTATATTCCCCGTTACCATGCCTATCTATGTGCGTCCACCGTCCCGGCCTCGCCTGGTCTCCACGTGCGACCTGCTACCCCGGCTTTGCCAAAGCGACCCTTCCATCGCCGTGCTCTCTTTGCGCACTCCAGCGAATCCTGGCCACTGCCGACCTCCGGCACATGGAGATGGCCGCGACAACCGCCTGCCGCACACTTCAAACCATACTCTTCAGCCCTTCCAACACCATCCTACCAACCTTGCGCATCAGTTCACCATCAATACCCGCCAATCCGCCTCGTCGAGCAACAGCCACAAGGCTGCCGGCGATAACATGTCCATGACGTCCCTCATGCAGCCGGACTACCCTTCTAGATTTGCTCCCTCGCCAGCACCAATGTCGCATCAACGGCCTTAATGCTAAAGCGATAGCCAGGACCCCCCTGCCTGTCCTCTTGTAGTCGCTAGCCACCGGAGTCTCGACTTGCAAACCCTCTTGGAAAGTTCTCGTGACCAACTCGCATCCTCCTCCTCAGGTCGACCCATATATCCGACTTCACCGTGTCCCAATAGTAGACTCGACACGGTCGGCACCCGCCTCGCTCAGCCGCACGCAATGCCCATCCAACTACCGACGACCGTCAAAAAGGGAGTCCTGCAATACTACCATAACCTCTTTCTTTCCTTCACTCTCATTCGTTATTGCCCCCTTTGCTATCTACTCCATGCAACGATGACACCGAAGGGGACTACTGGACTTTCTTTCTCCGCAGTCTTACCCACACTAACCTTACCGTTCGCCGACCTCCAACTTCTCGCAACATAGCCATCACCCCTACTCAACTTCCAACCCCGGCTCCTACTTCACTCACGACCACAGAACCAGATGGTCGAGACTGCTCGAGAACCTCGCCAGCTCATTCCCGCATACCCCCGCTTCTGATCTATCACCTAGGTAGCATTCACTGACTCTCAAGTCTCCCCGACCCGAGCCACGAGCCCTCTTTCGAGCAGCAAGAAAACCTGCTTTATAGGATGCCTACCTCTACTCTGCCTAACCCTCCTTTACACTTCCACGGTGACCACATCTGCCATGTTCTCACGATGTCGGCCTCCCAGCTCAACGTCGATACCTCGTCCTCCCCGCGGCAACCTCTTGACAGCCAGAAAAATGCTGGCGCCGACATGTCCATGATGGCCTTTGTCCAGCCCGGCTGCCCGTCTAGGTTCGCCTACCAGAATGAGCATCGTGTCAAAGGGCTCAACGCAGAAACCCTAGCGAGGGTCTTCCTTCCAACGCCCTCATGGCTGTCGACTCCAGAGTATGCAGCAATCCGGTCAGATACTGACAATCCATCGACCTGCATCTTCTTGAGCCTTAATATTTCCATATACAACCAACAGATAATCCCCTCGGAATGGACCGAGCAGTGGTTCTTTATGGTCGGCCGTGTTCATCCCTTTGCCCTGACGTGGGAAATCGAGCGACGTGATAGCTTCGAGTCGGAGGATGACAACATTACAGAATACACCATCCCGGCTCTCATCGTCCGCGACCACAGCTACCAGCCGTAGGTGTATGCTCCAGACCTCCGTCACCACTACCATCTCTGACGATGGCCACAGAGTCATCCTCGCACCCTCGGCTCGGCGGATGCCTTCCCAGCGATACAACCCATTGTCTCCTTCACGGGACCTGTCATCGGTTCCGGCCGCGACCTTCTGCATGGAAACTCGGCTGCGGCCCTTGACGACACCCAGCTGAGCTGTTGCGGCTTTGTCCAGCTCTCGACCTTTATCTGTCCTGGGATTCCGGGCAAAACACCCTTCAAGGGCTTTCATCCCTTTCAACTTTTCGTCATCTTCCCCATTCACGCCAATCCTTGGACCTCCTATGCAAGAAGATGACCGAGAGGCGCGATAGCCAGTTCCAGCCGAACGCTCTCCTCACCTGCACGGGCAAAATCGCCGGCTTACTCGATCACCAGATCATGACACATGCCCCGGCCTTCGAGCAAGACTATATCTTCATCGTCGTCCCCGATACATGGACTTTCCTTGACAGGGCCATGTCCAACCAGGCTTCTGCGACACAGCTACTGCCGACGACACCCAGGGCTCAGTCGGCAACCCCTCGGACTATAGCGATGCGTTGGCCAGGTTTACCTCTACCAAAAAACGCAATGCCGCCCCAAGCGGCGCCTCCCCCACGCCGCCTGCATCTAGGTCAGTCGATCCCCTTATGATGACATCAAAGCGGTCATTGCCCGATCCCGACCAAACCCCAACCAAGAGACCGCGACTTTCTCCAGAAATTTCCACCATAGTCGCCGCCTGTGATAGTCGAGGCCCCGCCAAATCCGACACTTCCTCCCTTCTGTCCCACGAAGACCCGGAGACTCAGAGACGGACACCGAGCCAGTCAATCACCCAGCCACATCCGCCTCTGGCCCTATCAGACCTCCGGCGTCAATCTCTTCCCGACCGCACCGCGCCCGACATCCGCCCAAGAATATTCTGTAAAGCAACGAACGAAACAACACAACATGACAAGGAACATGTTTCATCATCCTCAAACTCAAGTGCGAAAGGCCCTAATGGGATATTTCCTTCTCCTCTTGCTCTCCTTTTCACAAAGACAATCCAGTCAAAACTTCTCCAATATACTCCTTATTCTGTTTATATCCACCACTTATAGCACCTGTAAATCCTCAGAGCCTTCCACTCGCCCACACATGCATTACCCACCCACAACTCTCTTCACCCCTGCCGCCTCTCCACGCCCTTTGCGCCTTTGCAAAGCAAAATCTCCTTGCAGCGGCCTAGGCTGCCTCTCTGACGCTCTGTCTCGATTTCACTCACGATAATGCTCTACGTCTCTCGCCGGATCTCCATCTCATATCTCATATCTCACTCTTCTTCCTGTCTTCCTCTCACTTCCCCTGTCTCCTATCTCCTGTCGCCAACTCTCTCCTCTCCCCGACTTTCTCCTGTCGCCATCGCCAACTTTCGTTCCGAAAGGCCTCTTTGCGCGAGCCGCGGCTGGCGAGCCTTCCCCTCGTGAGGAACGAAAGGCCTTCTAACGTGCCCCGCAGACCCCGCCCTCTCCCCCAAAAAGTTCTCCGCCCCTTGATTGGTCCCTTGTGATTGGTCCCTCCTTGCCTCCCTCCTCGTTGGTCGCTGCCCTTCCCCCGGCTTCTGTTGCCTTTTCGCGTGCCTTATCCCACCACTAGGCGCCTCCCCCCCTGTCTGCCGCCTGCCGACTCTTCCCGCCTGCCGAACTCTTCATCGCGTCACCTAGCGCGGCCGCCTTGACTCTTCAGCATCACCGTCCAGCCAGCGCAACGCCTCCTCAACGGTCCTCTCGCTCAGTACCTCGAGCCTGGCCTGTGCGGCAGTCATCTCCTCGGGGACCCGGTTGCCCACCAAGTCTCTGTCCCGCACCTTGGACACGAGCATGATGCCGTCTAGAGTTCGGCAGCGCGATAGCTGCACGTACAGGCCGTACGGGTCGCACTGCGAGGGCACCACCGTTCCATCCATCTTCGTCGTCCGTGTCCTCGCAGCTCGAGGGCCACGCGCTCCAGCGTTTTGCCCTGCACCTTGTAGTCCGTGCACGCGAACGCTGCTGCGCACGGCAAACCCTTTCGGCTGACGTCGTTGCGTTGCCACGGCCTTTTTCGCTGGCACTGTATCTTAACGGTCATGGGTGTCAACAAGATCGTGCCCGGCGGCATCCCGACGAAGTGGAGATATCTCGTCGTCTCCGATTCGAGAATGATCCCGCCGGCGGCCCGAAGTGGATCGTCATATCGGCCGAGATCCGATGCCCGGGTACGCCTTGTCGACAATGACCTCCACCGCCGAGTAGCTCGCGCCGTTCACTAGCTTCAGCCCCTGGTGGGTGTTGTGGTTCACGACGATGGGCATCCCGGCCACGAACATGAAGACGGCCGGCACCGGGATCGCGCTATCGTCGCCCTGGTTGAGTATCATGATCGCCTCTTCCTCCGTCGGCAGCTCCTCCTTCCACTTGTGCTCGGAGATGAAAATGCGCATCGTCGACCGCTGCTGGACCCGGAACGCCAGGCTCGCCTCCATGTTCAGGTTCCACCGATTCCTATTGAGCGGCGTCACCACGGTGATGCCCGTCTCCCAAGGATCCGCCTTCCTCCCGGTAGCACCTTGAGTTGAGGAGGTTTAGATCCGTCCGATCCTGCACGCCTAGACGGATCCGCTTCAGCAGCCTCTGCAGCTCCGGGTCGCCGGCGGCGCGCATCTGCTCGTCCAGCATGACGACCGTCGTGAACCTCTTCCACAGTGCGTGCGCTTTGTCGTGCTGGTGACGCTGCTCGGCCTTGAACGAGTTGTCTACGTCCCACGAGATGGCCGCGCTAGGCAGGACGATCGACCTCTCTTGGACCGGCCGGAACTGCTGAAAATCTCCGCAGAAGAGGACGATGGGGATCCCCCCGAAATCTTGCCGCGATCCGCGAAGCCGGCGAAGCCGCTCGTTCACGGCGTGCAGCGTCCGCGCCCCGAGCATGCTCACCTCGTCGATGACGAGCACATCCTTCTCCTGCCAATCCATTCGAGACTGGCCGTGGATGAACCGCTCCGCCTGTTTCGGCAGCCGCACCGTCAAGGTCTTTGACCATGTTCGCGCCCCGCCCTTGGTCTTTAGTGAACCCGCAGGCGGAGTGGATCGTGATGCCGTTGATCCGCGCCGCCGCAGTCCCCGACGTCGCCGTGATCAGCAGACGATTCGAAAGGCTCTTTTACTGAACAGCTCGACGAGTGCCTCGATGATTCGCGACTTGCCGGTACCGCCCTCGCCACCGACGAACTGGCGCAGCTGGCAGGCATCGCCCCGTCGGTCTGCTGAATCAAATCGAGCTGGCGGCATATTATCAGAAAAGCGATGGACTGCCTCTTGTTCAGCGTCAGCCGTGTTGCCAACACCTTGCCCGCCGCGAGGAAGGAGGTTGATGGGCCAAACTGAACGTCCATTCCCGCCCCTGCGTCGATAGCGGTCTCGTCGGAGTCGGCCATCGTCATTTCGACCTCGTCCCCGAAACCGGTCATCACCCTTCGCAACGCTGCGCGGCGATCGCTTTCCCAGGCGGCGGGCGTTTTTTTTACCCCTTGGATCACCCCCCTCTCCTTCGAGGCACTTACCTGCTGCGACTTGATAGCCTTGACCTGATCCTGCGGCGGTAGTGCGGCCCCGGAAAAAACCCCCCCCGGCATGCTTAACCCCTCTCCCCTCGTTCGATCAGCGCCGTGGCCTCGAGCTCGGCCGTCGAGCGCAGCGCCGATTGCTGAAACCGACAGAGCTGCTGTATCATTGCCATGAGCTCCGGCGACTTGGCCGTCACCTGATTCGCTCCCACTGCACCTCGGACGACGTCGATGAGCCGCGTTGCGTCTCCGATGCTGTTGGGCTGATATGTCGCTGCAGACTCCGCGCCCGCCTCGCCTGCTCCACCCTCCTCGACGTGTGCGACCGTCGGGTCGCCATCGCCGGACGAGGCTGCCCATTGCTTGGCGTCGCGTTTTGCGTCTTCGGCGGATCGTCGAAGCAGCTGCACGTTGTCGACGAGACATGATATTCTCGGGGCCATAGCGTCTCGAGCCCGCGCCCAGATGCTGTTGATCTCACCTGTTCCTTCGCCCAGGAAGGACTCCACGGCACGAACAGCGCAAGATGCTGCACGGCTGCCCTTCAGGGGGTGGGTTAGCCTCTCCGATAATGCCCGCTGACAGAGCAGTTGCCATACACACCTCCGGTAGCACGACTCGTCATCGTAGGTGAAGTCCTTGCTCAGGTAGCCGTCGAGGCAGACGGTAGCGTGCTTGCCCGGCCGCCTGAGCACCTGAACCCAGCGTCGTCCCGGCGCCCATCCATCCTCGAAAGACATCTCCCCAAGCCGCCCAGCTCTCGTCGTTGCCGATGCGTTTCAGTCTGACGATCGATATGTAGTCATACAGGCATAGGCCTTTCAGCAGCTCTCCCGGTGCTGGTACGCCTCGACGTGGGAGATTCTCAGGCCTTCTTCTTCGACGACGACCGACTCATCCAAGGTGTCATCCGTAGCCGCAGCGCCACTGGCTTCTCGGAGATGCCGCCATCGCCGAAAGACTTCCCAGTACAGCAGAGAACAGTTCAGGTACGCCCACGCGCTGCTGTCGGTGAACTCGGCCGGATATCCGAGAAGGTGAGCGACGACCTCGACCTGTGATAGCGGACGCTCCGTGAACACGCGGTTCGCCACTCTCATCAGGAACTGTCGCGTCCTGTTCCCTTGACAGGGTCATCGGTGGCAGCGTCTCCGCCACCGTCCCGCCCTCCGTTGGCCGTGCCATCACCTGTTGAGGCGGCCAGGAGCTCGGCCGCGGCCGCCACACGCTTCCACACCGGGTCCTCCACCTTGGTCGCGTAGTTCGTGACATAATAGATGAGGGCCATTGTCTTGCGCTGCGTCGCAATGAAGGAAATATCATGGTTGTGCCGGAGCCCGACAGCAATAGCCTCGTTCCATCGATTGACCATGCTGTGTGTCCTCCGGATCTGCAGCACCCCGTCTGCCGTGAGGGCGGTCTTGTCGACTAACCTCCATGGCGCCTTGAACCGGCAGAGCTCCCTTTCCGCCCTCCTTTGCCCAAGGAATACTTCACACAGGTCGGGCTATGCGTGTGCACCTGCGTCGCGCCGGCACAGAAGTTGGCCTCCTCGATAAACGCGGCCGAGAACTGCGCGGCGTTGTCCAGCAGGGAACCAATACCGCCCGTCACAGATCGCTCCGCTTGCACGGCGCAAAAACTTTCCTGGTCCAGATCCTGCCTTGCACGTCAACCCGGCCCCACTTGGCCATCAGAAGAGTACTTCAGGCTCCCGGTGGCACATCTTAGGTAGGCATTCTTACCTCTGAGAAGACGCTATCGATGTATCGGACGATTCGCTCGCGATACGCCGCCTGATCCTCCCCGTGGATGTCGGCAAGCATCGAGCTGAGATGCGCGTTCCCGTGCAGCCAGAGCAAGCCGTGAACATGAAGCGCCCCTCGTTCGTTCGTCTCCACGGCGCCATAGTACTTGCCGATGCGCCCGAATACCGACTCTTCACCGACCTTCACGTAATGATCGAAGAACAGCTTCATCTCGCGGTGGAAGAACACGGCCGAGCTCATGGGATCCGATATCGCCAGCCGTGCCCGCTTATACGCATCCCCAAGGCCTTCTAAGAACTCCTCGGCCGCGTCGGGATCGCGTGTGCGGTATGCCGCCAGTCGCAGCTTCACCGGGTTCGTAATGTCGTTCGGGTTGATGGTGAACCAGATGGCCGGCACGCCATATCCGACGATGAGCGACTGGATTTTCCGCCGCATATTGAGACGGACCCCTCCCGACATGGGCTGCCGGTGGCCGTAAAGCGAGAGGCTCCTGAGAAGCTCCTTCACGTCACCATCGGTCGTCTTACCCGAGCTCTCCAACTCGACCCTCGCCGCCGCTAGCCTTTCTGTGGTCATCGAACGCACGATGCGCTCTACCTTGCGGAAGTTCTTCCTCCCCACACTCAACATGCTGACCCGGCGGTTCCTCGACCGCACCCCCATGTTGAAGACGAGAAATGCGAAGATGTGGTGCAGTGCAAATCGACCACCATGGCGCCGGAGCACGATCTCGGCCCACGCCTGAAGGTTCAAGCTTCGAGACGATACGGGTCTCCGCGGCCGCCTCTGCCTCGACAGCCCTGCCTCGCAAGTTGGCCGTGACCTTCCCGCGTCGACCATGGTCTCTTCAACCAGCCTTGGTCCCCAACGCCAAATGGGAACAGGGTCGGGAACGTCCTGGCAAAGAAGGACGCCTCAAAGGAATCGGTAAACTCACCCCGCGAAACCCGGATGTATGGCTCACAACCACCGTCGCCACGCCCCCGAACCCCCCCGGCTAGGGACCCGACCCACGCTCTCGGGCCCGCACGGCCGTCGTCGGCACCTTCACCAACAGCGTCACAGGCAAACTGCAGCTTCTCCACGTCCGCGACGTCTGGCGGTCCGTCGAGCGCGAACATGCCAGAAGACGTCACCTCGTTGATCGCTGGAACGTTCTGGTCGGGGCAGGCGTCACTTCCATCGCGAACCGCGCCTTCTCCGTTGGGCCCGTGACCTTCACCCTGGCCGCCGGCTTCTTGTCCTTGGTTGAGCAGGGCGAAGAGCTCCTCGATCTCCACCGGCCCCTCCTCGTCCACGGCGCGTTCCGTGGGCGGCACAACGTGCGCCGTCCGCGCTTTCTCCCACCCAGACGGCTCGTTCCGCTCCATACGATCGCACACCGACGACGGTACCCCGTGTATCGAGTCTCCCAGCTCTCCATCTCCGCCGCGTCGATCTCGATCTCGGCGTAGTGGGGTTGTTCCGCTTCAGCCAGACAAGGGCCCTCTCGACCACCCGCCGCCTCACCGACAAGAGACTCGACAGGTCGCTCGGTGCCGGCTTCTCCGCGCCCTGCCACGAGATGTGGATCTCGTACAGTGCTTGCAAAGGGGTGCGGGAGCACTTTGGTGGCCAGCTCCTGCACATTGTTCGGAAACACTGTGATGTGGCCCCTGACATGCCTCGGATACTTCACGCTCTGTCTCTGCCCGCCCGGAATGCTATATCTCGTGACAAACCCGTAACATGAGTTCAGCGAGATGAGCTTCTCTTCGACCGGCGTCAGTCCCTTGAGCTCATCGGGGAACATGTGCTCGCAGCCAAGGCGACTGTGAAGGTGGATCGCCGGCGACAGGCTCCTGCGCGCCAGGCATCGGCCACACTCGGCGCACACCGACACGGACTCGCCCTCAGGAAAGCAACTCCGGCATGAAAATGGTGAGCGGCCGCCCTTTGGTACGCAACTTGACAGCCAATGATCCCATGTAATCTCCTCAACTCTCCTCTCGTACACTTGCGGTAGCACACCATGCAGGTCCGTATCGGCAACGTGCTCGCATCGTGGAACGCCTGATAGAAGTCTCGCACCGTCGACACCTTCCTCTCGAGCGGTATTGGCGTGCACCACGTCTGATCGTTAGACAATCTCTCCTTCAAGGCAAAGTCTTCCTCCAAAAAGCGCAGCACACTCGCCAGGTCTTCGGCCTGCAGCTCCCGTCTCCTATGCCTTCCGATTCCACTTCGGACCTGTTTTATCGGGCGCCCATCCCGGCTAGGAAGACGGGCTCTCTTCTCCGCCTCCGGGACTGCCTCTGTCCGCGCAGCGAGCCGTCCGCTGCCTCTGCTGCGCCATCGTCCACACCCACCTGTGCCCTTGGCCGCCGAACCGGTCCCCGACGGAGCTTGGGCAAACCCCATGCAATCGATGCTGCAAATTGCGCCGTTCGTCTTAGGTCTTGGAAAGTCGTATCCTTGGGCTGGATAGGTCGGAGCGTCGGTCCTTTTCGAACGAACACCCGGGACACCGCCGGTCGCCGCCTTATCTCCCTGCCCGTCACCTTCAGGACCCTCTCCTGGGGCAAAAACGGCCGATGAAGGGCGGACTGTCAGAGCCCACTGCCCCTGGTCTCCACGTTCTGTAGGCAACACGAACCTCGGAAGCGGACTCGGTGACTGACGTTGCGCGGAATTTCCGCTGCTGACCAAATTACGGGACTTCCGTGCTCTGCTTGACCGCAAACCGCCTCGCGGCGGTCTTCTCGGCAGTGACTTTGCGATCGCCTCTGCATGCTTTCTCCATGCGGTTTCTTCGACCGCAGACTGCTTAGGCTGAATCAGCCGGAACGTTAATGCTTCATTCGCCACTGATCTGTATCTCCCGAACCGCCCCAACCTTGTCTCCCGTGCTCCGTGCCCTTCTCGGAGTTGCCCTGTATCATCTCCGCACCCCGAAACAGGCACTCCCCCGTTCCTACCCTCTTCTCCATCCTCGACTGACAACGAACAGGCTCCACGGTGAGCGGCCGCCTCGCCTAGCTTCCCTGCAGGACTGTCCGCCATGCTACTGCCTCCTCGACGTCGACTAGCGTGGATTGGCAACAGGCTAGAAAGTTTTGGCTCCGGAGCACTTCCACTTGGATAATCTCGCTTCTTGGCGTACACTATTTCTTTCCGAGTGGGAAGCTTCCTAACGATCACTACTCTCATGGCCGTGGCATTTCTTCCTTATAATGCTTGCCTATGGTACCGAAGCGATGCAATACTACTACCCTTTGTAATCCCCATTTACCCTCCCTATGTGCGTCCACCGTCCCGACCCTCGGCTGGTCTCCACGTGCGACCTGCTACCCCAGCTTTGCCAAAGGCGGCCCTTCCATCGCCGTGCTCTCTTTGCGCACTCCAGCGAATCCTGGCTACTGCCGACCTCCGGCACATGGGGTGGCCGCGCCAACCGCCCGCCGCACACTTCCAACCATACTCCGGCCCTTCCAACGCCGTCCCACCCACCTTGCGCATCAGTTGCTCCATCAATATCTGCCACTCCACCTCGTCGAGCAACAGCCAAAAGGCTGCCGGCGATAACATGTCCACGGTGTCCTCGTGCAACCGGACTACCCGGCTAGGTTTGCTCCTCGCCACCACCAACGTCGCATCAACGGCCTTCATGCTAAAGCGACAGCCAGGATCCCCTGCCTGTCCTCTTGTAGTCGCTACCCACCGGAGTCTCGACTTGCAACCCCTCTTGAGAGTTCTCGTGACCACCTCGCATCCCCCCCCTCAGGTCGCCCCCTATACCCGACTTCCCCGTGCCCCAATAGTGGACTCGACACGGTCGGCCCCCGCCTCGCTCAGCCGCACGCAATGCCCATCCAACTACCGACGACCGTCAAAAAGGGACCCCTGCAATACTACCATAACCTCTTTCTTTCCTTCACTCTCATTCGTTATTGTCGCCTTTGCTATCTACTCCATGCAACGATGACACCGAAGGGTACTGCTGGACTTTCTTTCTCCGCAGACTTACCCACACTAACCTTACTGTTCGCCGACCTCCAACTTCTCGCGACATAGTCATCACCCCTACTCAACTTCCAACCCCGGCTCTACTTCACTCACGACCATAGAACCAGATGGTCGAGACTGTTCAAGAACCTCGCCAGCTCATTCCCGCATACCCCCGCTTCTGATCTATCACCTAGGTAGCATTCTCTGACTCTTAAGTCTCCCCGACCCTAGCCGCGAGCCCTCTTTCGAGCAGCAAGAAAACCTGCTTTATAGGATGCCCACCTCCACTCTGCGTAACCCCTCATTTACACTTCCACGGTGACTACATCTGCCATGTTCTCACGATGTCGGCCTCCCAGCTCAACGTCGATACCTCGTCCTCCCGCGGCAACCTCTTGACAGCCAGAAAATGCTGGCGCCGACATGTCCATGATGGCCTTTGTCCAGCCCGGCTGCCCGGCTAGGTTCGCCTACCAGAATGAGCATCGTGTCAAAGGGCTCAACGCAGAAACCCTAGCGAGGTCTTCCTTCCCACGCCCTCATGGCTGTCGACTCCGGAGTATGCAGCAATCCGGTCAGATACTGGCAATCCATCGACCTGCATCTTCTTCAGCCTTAATATTTCCATATACAACCAACAGATAATCTCCTCGGAATGGACCGAGCAATGGTTCTTCATGGTCGGCCGTGTTCATCCCTTTGCCCTGACGTGGAAATCGAGCGACGTGATGGCTTGAGTCGGACGATGATAACATCACAGAATACACCGTCCCCGCGCTTATAGTCCGCGATCACAGCTACCAACCGTGAGTCTATGCTCCAAATCTCTCTGTCGCCACTGCCCTCCCTGACGATATCCATAGAATTGTCACTCGCACCCTCAGCTCGGTGGATACTTTCCCAACGATACAACCCATTGTCTCCTTCACGGGACCTGTCATCGGCTCCGGCCGCGACCTCCTGCATGGAAACTCGGCTGCGGCCCTTGACGACACCCAGCTGAGCTGCTGCGGCTTTGTCCAGCTCTCCACCTTTATTTGTCCTGGGATTCCCGGCAAACCCCTTCAAGGGCTTTCACCCTTCCAAGTTTTCGTCATCTTCCCATTCACGCTAATCCTTGGACCTCCCTATGCAAGAAGATGACCGAGAGGCGCGACAGCCAGTTCCAGTCGAACGCTCTCTTCACCTGTACGGGCAAAATCGCCGGCTTACTGGATCACCAGATCATGAAACATGCCCCGGCTTTCGACCAAGACTATATCTTCATCGTCGTCCCCGACACGTGGACTTTCCACGACAAGGCCATGTCCGACCAGGCTTCTGCAACACAACTACTGCCGACGACACCCAAGAGCGCGGTCGGCAATCCTCGGACTATAGCGTTGCGTTGGCCAGGTTTACCTCTACGAAGAAACCCAAGGCCGCCCAAAGCCCCGCCTCCCCCACGCCGCATGCTTCTGGCCCAGTCGATCCCCTTATGCTGGCATCAAGTCGGTCAATGCCCGATCCCTACCAAACCCCAACCAAGAGACCGCGACTTTCTCCCGAAACTTCCACCATAATCACCGACTGTGACGGTCAAGACTCCCAAATCCGATACCTCCTCCTTTCTGTCCCCGGAAGACCCCGCAGAGTCAGAAACGGACACCGAACAGGTCAATCACCAAGACACATCCGCCTCTGGCTCTATCAGACCTCCCGCGTCGATATCTTCCCGACCACTGCGCGCCCGACGTCCGCCCAAGAATATTCTCTAAACTTTAAAGCATCAAACGAAACAATACAACATGACAACATGTCTCATCATCCTCAAAATCAACTGCCAAAGGCTCGAATAGCACATTCTCTTCTCTTCTTGTTCTCCTTTTCATGAAGACGATCAAGTCAAAACTTCCCCAATATACTCCTTATTCTGTTTATACCTACGACTTATACCGGTAGCACATGTAAATTTTCCGAGCCTTCCACTCGCCCAGACATGCATTACCCACTCACATCTCTCTTCAACCCTGCCGTCTCTCCACGCCCTTTGAGTTTGCGCCTTTTAAACAAAATCTCCCTCCAGCGGCCTAGCCTGCCTCCCCGACGCTCTGTCTCGGTTTCACTCACGATAATGCTCTACGTCTCTCGCCGTGTCTCGTATCTCGACCTCACTCTTCTTCCTGTCTCCTATCTACTGTCGCCAACTCTCTCTCTCTCTTCTGTAGCCAACTCTTCTCCGGTTCTCTTGTCGCCAAATTTCGTTCCGAAAGGCTTCTTTGCGCGAGCCGCGGCTGGCGAGCCTTCCTCTCGTGGTCCAGACAGGGATTATAAGTTTTTCCAGATCTGATTGGCCGATATTTTGTATGGCAGGGCTCTAAAGTAGGCTGGATTGGCCGGTGTCAGTAGATAAGTGGGTATCGGGAAGCCACTAATTTCTCAGCTGCTCCTTTCTCAGCTGCTCCTTTATTTGCTGCGCGGCTCTTAGCCATGGAAAAATTCTCTCACAACCAAGCCCACGCTCTCTTTGCACAGGCATGGATCACGAGAGTTCATTAGTGGTCTAAATATCCTCCTGCTTGGCGACTTCTTTCAGTTCCCCTGTGCTGCAGAAGCGTCTTTATTACGACAAGGAGGTGCAAGGAGGTGCAAGGAGTAGAGATCAAGGGCAGGAATGCACATCGGCGCTTCGACAAGACGGTTTTCTTGACGGTTGCCCAGCGTCAGCGCGGCAAAGAACAGAAGGGGCACATTTCGCACGGCCCTCGATCAATTGCGACTGCACCGTCTATTCCAGGAGTCCTGGAAGCTCCTCTCCAGCCGCGT